TTATTGTATAATAAAGACTTGAGTTTATTTTTGCAGTTTGATAATTTTACTTCGTCAGATTTCTTATTTTTATTCTGAATTCTTTATTTTACCTCTCGAATTTATCAATAATAATTACATGAAATAAAAATATTCTTTTAATGTTGATTAACAGCATACACCTGTATATTGCTGCATAACTACTCCTACTATGAGTACATATTTCTATATAAAATTATGGCATGATTGGCTTAAAATCGATATACGAATGACAGTTGGATACAGAATTCTATACCATTGAGTTACGATATCACCGATCGGGAAGAGACGCTTTTCCGATCAAATCAAGGATCTCAGTGGATTAGCTACCCCGAGAGATAATAAGGCAGCTATTAATATAATGGTTTATTTGCTTATATATTGATAAACACAACTTATGAGAATGTAAGTGTATAAGAAAAGTAGTGCATGCAATAATTGGATACCTATTTTTTACAACTAAATAAACAATCATCGATAAGACGTTCTATATTTAGGATCATATATTTAATCATGTCTTAGATAAAAATTATCAACAGAATGGATAAATAACCAGATATAACTTCATGTTCTACCACAGCCAATTAAATATAAAAACATTATGCATCTTTTGACAGACTACCGTTACACGCTATCTTTCTAATCTTTTGTATTTTAAACGGTACAGCAAGAGTGTCTCAGATCGGTTGATCCAGGGCAACGTTACTTAAAATCGATTCTAACGAGTAGAATTCACTTCAATTAAGGCGGGACTCCCAGTATAGATTAATTACAAGATCACAAAAGGTTGACACAACACCACCACCAAGGGAAGTTGTTCAATATAACAAGGATCAATTATTTCATAGCCAGAGTTATTTTAGTTAAATACCACTAATGTTACCTGATGAAATCAACTTTAACACGTAAGGTTTATTCAAGATTAGGCGGAAAACTAAGTATGTATCTATCTGCAAAACCAGGAAGGTCGACTGCAGATCATGCCAAGGAATAGTTGTCATTTAATATTAAAAACGATCAATTATTTATAACAGTAGAGTCTTTTCATTTATTTTTTTTACCTTATATAAAATTAACTAATATCTCATAACTAACCGAAATACTATTTTATCAAATATCACAAAGCCTGATTAAACCAAACAATTAACAGAACAACTTACTATTTATGTCTAATCCCAATACGCTGTTATAATCCATTATCTCATATAAGATATCCAGTTTTAGTTTGAAATGTTTTAATTGTTTATTTTTGGATTATTTCAATGGGCTGAGTGAAAGAGAATAACATCGCAGACCAAAATAATAGGAGGAGGGATACCGTAAAAAAAAAAGTAAGTCGTATGTAAGAAAGGAAATTCTGTCAATAGAAATGAATGAAGCATATCAACGCAACAATTTAGTGATTTACGATATTTTTGTTGTAATGATACGGTTTGATGTGGTTAACCAAAGCCCCCCCCCCTTTTTTTTTTGTATTTGGACTGCGTTAAAATCAATTCTCTTTTGATCTTAGTTGTGTTGTCTTTAATACTTATTTTTCTTTCTACAAGCATAAACCCATTTATTTTTTATTCTCTCTTATTTAAGATGGAAGAAGTAATTTTTCTATTTCAAAGCTGTTACATCAACACTGTTTCCTCCTATTTTAATAAGTCCTCATTATTTACAATAAAAGTACACATGTTTTATTCTTTTTGATATAAAAAACAATCGAAAATAAGCAACGTCTATTTCTCTCTCTCTCTCTCTCTATTCTAAAAAAAATCCCTGATCATTTACATTCATACGTCCTACTCCCATTCATCATCGTCATCATCTTCATCATCACTTTGCATAGCTTGTTGACGTTGTTTTAACACATTGGCTAAACTGGAAGCTAAATCACCACCTCCAGCTGCTGTTGCAGCTGCACCTACAGCCGCTCCAGTTGCAGCGCCTGCGATCATGGGTGCACTATGGTCTACTACCTCTGCCTTACGTAACTTGCCTGTTTGCTTTAGAGTACCGAATCCACCTGCTTGTCGAATGGATGCCATTAAATCTGTACGTCCTGGTGGTGCAGACGCAGGAATACCAGAAGGTGGATGAGGTGGAGGAGGGGTGCCTCCCATCATGGGAGGAGGAGGGGCTGGAGGAGGAGGAGCACCGCCCATCATAGGTGGTGGAGGAGGTGCAGAGGGGGGAGGGGGAGGTACACCTCCCATCATAGGTGGTGGTGGTGGTGGTGCAGGAGGAGGAGGAGCACTTCCCATCATGGGTGGTGGCGACATATTGTTTCTTCCAGGAGGTGGTGGAGGTACAGGTCGACCACGATTTGGTACAGGTGGTCCGGATATGATACTTCTTGCTACTGGAGGAGGTGGAGGTGGAGCATTGTTGATAGGACTTCTAGGTGTAGCTGGTGCATTGTTAATAGGGCTTCTTGGTGGAGGTGGTACGTTGTTATTAGGTCTTCTTGGTGGAGGTGGAGGTGGAGCAACACCATGATGACGACCTTCAATATTTACATTAGTTTATTTATACTATTTATGCCATTTATTCTCTCTCTTTTTTTTTCTTACCTGGTGGAGGTGGCGGTGGTGGTGTTTTCTTTCTTTGACTATTACTGTTTTGTAATGCAGGTGGTGGTGTCGGATTACCATACTGTGGAGTGGGACTTTTATATGGCTGTGGAGGAGAGGGTGCTTTAAATTGTTGCATGGGTGGTGGCGGTGGAGGAGGACTACTGTACTGTTGTGAAGGGCGAGCAGCTGTCACAGTTGGAGCAGCTGCATTATTTTGTTGTAAAAACTGATCGATAAAGGCTTGATTTTCACTAATTTCATCCGCTGATATACCCAATGCTTTTAACTGATCTAAAATACTATTCTTTTCGGGATCATTGTTCTGAACACTAAATCCCTTCCCTTGTGTATAACCGATATGACCCACATGTCTAAAATCTGCTGGCATACCAATATGATTTTTGTCAATTTTACTGGTTCTCTTCTTATTGTTGTGCATTCCCAAAAAGTGTTTGCCATGACTAGTATTCGTCTTTGTATTCAATGAGTCACGTCCTTGTACTTTTTTATAAAATGTGTCAGCTTCCCCCATGTCAACGAATTCGAGACCTGCCAAGCAATCCTTTATTTTATGCCATTGTGTTAGTTCCGTCATGCCTTTTTTTGTTTTGTTTTGTTTTCAGTCTCGCGCCTGTTAAAAACTTACGTCTGTTTCAAAAGTATGAAAAAAGCCAGCTTCCTTTACATAGTTGAATCCTTGATAAATTTCTTGTTCCCACATGACGCCTTTGTTATTCTTAAAAAGAAGTCAATGTCAATCAGAGGTCATAGTAAGACCTACTCACTGCTTTCACTTTCTTACCTCTATATCCACTAATCGAATAAAGAATGAGTTGTTTTTTGCAGAGTCGACACAGAAAACAGCAGCGCCCCAGAGGAGAGCATAAGACCATTTGGAGGGATCTGGACTAGCGACAAAAAGTCTTGCGACAGCAGCAGTAAAGATTTTCTGGGGGGAGTTGTTGTTAAGAAATGAAATGTTTTAAACGTAATGAGTACTTACTGAAGTTGGCACGGCAGCTCGAATATTGTTTTTCACCTCGGGTGAGGAGAGTGTATTTGCCTTCATTTGTATTTAGTAAAGAAAAGAAAGGTGAAAAAGAACTTCTTGGCCTAGTTTTTTTTTTGTGTGTGGATTAAATTTGGGGGGTTGTTCAAGAAAGTCACACCAGCGCGCATGATTACTTTTTTGAGACCCCAAATGAGGAATTCTTGGCACCACAAAGTTAGAATTATGACGTTTTTCTTTTTTAACGGAGTCATTATTTTCATATCAAGATAAAGCATCATTGTTCTCATGTAGAAAATACATCCCTTTTGTTTTATTAATAAATTGAAGAAGATATTTACAAACTTAATAAGTGAATTAATGTATTCATTCTTGTAAGAGTAAGTTGCCATGACTTTATCTTTTATAGATCCTCGGGGGGAAAATTACGATAAGCGACTTGTAGCTTTTTTTTTTCTTGACTATTCCATTTCTATACGTTGCGGGTGTCTGCTACTCAATTCTCAACCTTGTCCTTTGAAGCTTACCCAATTTTCCATTAAAAAAGAAAGGTGCATGGAAGTATGATTACTTTGCATTTCGTGAACAGGTTACATTTACTACCTAATGAAATGAAAGGGACTATGACCTCATGGCAGTGTGACAATGACAGATTTTCAGGTTCGTTCTTACTAATCAAGCCAAATATCCAAAGTCGACAAGTTGTCTGCTCAAATTGCTTGTCATGTTTAAGAATGCTGAAAGAGATAAGAGATCCACGAGGCAAAGCCATATGTAGAAACGATTTATAAAAGCACGATCGCCACTCTACTTGGTGACACTACACAGCAGTACTGAAAGCAAGACATGAGGGAAATGTGGCTTCACCTTGTTGCTGAGAGTTTACCAATCTACACAAAGAAAACCGTGGCTATACACCGGAAACTATTTTACCGACGAATGGTACAACCGGCAGACAAAACGTAAGCAAATTTCATAATTCCTAGTGTGACACACGTGCAATTGGAATCACTGACGATCATTAAGTATATTATGTTGGTATGGTTAGTATTGGCTATTATATTTTTAAGGATGTTTGATAAAAAGGTTGCATGGATATTTCGATCAGCCATGATGGCGGCTTTATTTATTCTCCCTGCGTGAACTTTCTTTTTTGGGGGTGGAGGGGGACGTACAGCGGAACAACAGATATAGGACGACTCCATCATACTGTTTACATAGTAACAAGATGTACAATTGTTATTTATATCAAAAAGAATGGTAAACGTCTATACATTCCCTCCTCATTTCTTTATTTGTTTATTTACGGTAAAAAGTGCCTCTTTTTGCCACCAAGGGGTAGTTTTGTACAACCCCCGTCATGTACACTGCTCTCCGAGGGAAAAAAAGAAAAAAAAAGAAAATGCAGGGTGCGGGAAAAAAGGGCGATGTATTTGCTATGTAAAGCTATAATAGATAAAGTTTGTTTTTACGCTTGACCATGGTCTTTAAGCGTCTCAACATGGCTCTTGGTTTCGTCTTGTCAGTAGTAGCGGGTTTAAACACGGGCATTCCTTCACTATCATCCAATGTGATTCTGTGAATTTTGGTCTCTAATAAATGACTACTTTTTTTTGATATTATGAGTGGTTTTTCAAATATTGTGAGAGAAAGATACGACTTACTTGAGACGTGGCTCTTTTGTAGGTGCAGGTGGGGGTAATGTTGGTGGTGGTGGGAATAGGGATGGATAATAGTCTTCACGTCGCTTATAATAGATTATATTATCAGTGTCTTCTTCAGTAGTGTGGGTATAGTAAGTTGGGATGGGGTTGTCTAGTAAAGAGGTAGTTTGATCGGCAATGTTTGATATTATGGAAGGCTCTTTTATACTTTCCTGTGCATTATTTTGATCTGAACATGCAGATAAACTGTCAATTGCATCTTCTTCTTCATCTTCTGGTGGTGGTGATGATGGTGGCGCCGGTGGTGGTGGTGGTAGTGGTAGTGGGTGTGTATTCTCTCCCTCCACCTGTCGCATTAGAATAGTGGGTACTTCTAAGGTGGTACTTGTGATACTAGTGACAACACCATATTCACTGCTGTTACATGTAGATGTATTTGCCGAATGAGCCGTGCTATCAGGGGAGATCACTTCCGCTGTCTCATTTGTACTATGAATGCTTGTGTTAGCGGAGGGTGGGGGTGGAACATGATCAACGACTTTGATTGGTTGAGCAGGAAAAGCACTCCAAAAGAGGAGTATCGAATTTGTCCTGACCAACATTTTTTGAAAAAAAAAAAAGCAAAAAGAAAAAGAGAAAGATCAATTCGTAATATTTTTCCTATCAAGTGCAGGATTAAATGATAAAAAATGAAACCCCCTTAGTTTCCATAGCAACACTGCAAAAAATAAGAAAAGGGATTGACGTCATACAAAATAAATGAAAGGACCCTCAATGTGGGCCCTTTTTTTCAGGAATAAGGTTCAAAAGCTGAGTACAAAAGAAGAAGAAAAAAAATAAAAATAAAAAAAGTTCCCCCACCGCCCCCTAATATTTTTTTTTTCCCTTTTCTCTCTTTCATTTTTTTTTCTTCTTCTTGATAAAAATAAAATATATAAACAATGATAAATGAGGTATCGAAAGAGTCAACGTTTCTTGTGACGAATGCGTCAGGAAGACATATTAACATATTAAATGATCATGAAAAACAAGTGGAATCAACGAGTCCAGTGAGCTCGGAAGTATCAGATGAGCTGATGAATGATGGATTTTCGTCTTCGTCGTCGTCTAAGAGGAAATACCATTGTTCAGAACCTGGATGCACCAAGAGTTTCACCACTAGGTAAAGAAGAAGAAAAAATAAATAATATATATATAAATAAAGAAAGTGAGGACTGAAACAAAAAACCTTAGTGGACATTTAGCCAGACATAACCGCATCCACACAGGCGAAAAGAACTTTCCTTGCCTATTTCCTGGGTGTCAATCACGTTTTTCTCGTCAGGATAATATGATGCAACATTACCGTACTCATATGTCACCAAAATCAAGAAGAACACAAAAGAAAGTTGTTTCAGAAGACCTTCATCCTCGACCACGATTACATGCTCATCAACGGATTCGGTCTGATCCTTATCGAGTGGAGAGACCATTAACAATTGATCAGCATTTAAACAACTATCGTAGATCCTTACTGTCTCATCCAATTGACCGTATTGCCTCTTCTGTAAAATATAATATGCCAACTCCCTTGGGCTCTGTTGCTGCCTCTCATATGCAAAAACAGCAGCAGCAACAACAACAACAACAACAACAGAGGATTACAAACACATCCTATCCACAAGAAGAAGAGGACGAAGAAGACGAAGACGAGGACATTGTATCACCCACTTCATCAATCATTTCATCCGAAATCATATTCTATCAACACAAGCCATTGACTTTCTCCACTGAAAATAGCTCATCCTTGCCTTTTACATTACTACACCCAACTCGGGTGCAATCAACCACATCACCTTCATCCACAGCACCACACACTCCCGCCAAAGAAAATACCACTCCTCCATCATCCTTCATTTCCCCTGCCACTACTACTGACATCATTCACAATGCCGCCACTACTACCACTCCTCCGTCATCATCATCGTCCTCTTCACAAGCAGGCTTATTACAGCTTGCTCATATCGTTAGCACATTTGGCTAAATCGAACATTGATTGGGTCGCTACCCCATTTTATTTCCATTTCAAGACGAAACCTTTTTTTCTTGTCTTCTGATCAAAATTAATATAAACCTTTTTTTAACTGTCGACAAATATTGTTTTTGTTTTCAAATTGTTCACTTTCTGCAACATGCTTAGTAGCATTTGACCATTTGGCTTTTAGACTAAAGGATGACTCCTTGTCATTTCAAACTTCATTTAATTCATCGCTGTTTTCCGGTTTATTCTATTTTTACAAAAGGGGGAGGCATTGTTACCATTGTAGGTTGTATGTAACCCTGTGTTGTGCAACTTGACTGGTGTAGGGGGAAAAAAAGGGTTTGGTTCTTCTATTAGGATCCTCGGGAATACATTTTTCCGATCTATGACAAGTGGCCAGTGTATAAAAACCACAACTTTACCGAAGTATAGTTCATTACCTAGAGAACTTATAAAAGATCAATGGCCCTGTTTTTACAAGAGCTAGTTCTTGGCTTGGCGATTCTAGGCTGAGTTATCTGTTTTTTTTTTATAAAAGCTGATTAAGTAAACAGTTTAATGGTCGCATCCCTGACCCAAACCGGTTCTTTTATATAAAAAAATAAAGGACGTTAACATAACTATAAAGGCTACTTTTTTATTTGCAGATGAATAACTGTCGCCATGGATACACCAAGTAAAAACCTAGTAGCATTGTTTATTCCAACAAGAGAAAACAATGCTACTAAATACAGACAGTATGGGTGGGAATAAACAGAATAAGGGTTGGGGGATTATGTCAGCGTAAAACCAATGATCCGCGGGAACGGAAAAGGGTTTGGAATCAAGGGAAGCTCATTTACTTCACATTGGCGGAGTTGTAAGCCCTCTTTTTTTTTTTTTTTTTTTTTTTTTTTTTTTTTTGCAGCCCGTGCTTCAATTGACAAATAGTGATTGATGAAGCGTTCCAAAAGGCCTCATCAATCACTACAGATACATTAACTGCATACAAGTATAAAAAAGAAAAGAGAAAGAATTGTATCTGCAACTCTTTCTTTTCTTGCATCTTGACTAGCAAATGAGAAAAAACGGAAAGCTGCTCTGGGTCATTTACTACGTCGACGAGGATGATCCTTCGAGAGATAGACAATATCTCTTTGAGACTGACGAGGTTGTATGCTACAAGTTGTTCCGTGGCAAAATTGAACAGTTTTTGGGTGGTCCTATTATTGATATAACATATTATCGTGGACACCGCATGCCTAAAGTTGTTGTGGACGATGACATTTCCATGGCACTGGCAATGGATTTTTTCACTATGCAAGCCATACAGACAGGAAGAACACGAAAGGCCAGATTCATTGCAACATATCAAAAATCCAGCTCATTCAAGTACTGATACAAATTTTATGAAAGAGATTTATCCATTAAGAATAAAGCATAATTTTAACTATTTGAATGAGCAATGATAGCTCCTCTTGCCACTCATATAGCTAAACTACTTGTAGTTGAACTGGGTGTCTATTTCACCCTTAAATCTCTTCCTCTTTTACGCTTTCTGATTATGTCAGATGCAATGGCTGCTAAATCTTTTATCTAGACTAGAAGTAAAAAGATATTTTTCTTCAGGTACACACAAATTTTTAAAGTCTATTTTGTAAACTTTTTGGAGTTGATCATATCACTTGGGATAAGTTTGATGGAAGAGTTGCGTGTATATAGTTGCCAGATGAATGTAAGGCCATGGAGCTTAAAAGCAACACAAATCTGTGTGACCCACAGATAGATGGCTGAGAAACAGAAGAATTGGTGTTCCGTTTAGACTGCTTGACATCATAAAAGTGTCTTTATCGTGCACATCTAGGGTGGACACTGTGGGTCACCCTATTCACCATTCCTTTAGTTTTTGTTCTGTACCTGATTTTGACTGCAAACAATATCACAAAAAAGTAGAATTGCAGCGGCGGCTTAATGATTCTGGCATAACTTCCCTTGTTGTGATGATGACTCTTCTAAGAGTGGAAGCCATCTATCAGCGGTTACTCTATATCATTTACAAAACTGTGATTGAAAATTAAAATCTTTCCATTGTTGAATTACAAAGAGGACAATACAATTGTGGTTTATTCTAACTGTAAACGCAAGTTGGGTAGCTTGTCAAGAAGACAAGTTGTGCTGCACGTGTATGTAACATAGACTGTCACATCTGTATCTTCCGGAAAAGGCATAGACTGCCTGCAGATCCAAGTATGATATATAAAAAAAAAATTCTATTTCTTTCTTTTTTTTTTTTTTTACCAGAAAAAAAAAATGGCTTCCACGTTACGTCGTCGACAATACCCAAGTGGTGATGCTGAACCTTTATTAGTACCTCAAGAAGTGGATTATGCAACCTTTCCCAGCAAAAGTACAGCTGTAGTGGCTAAACCTGTTAAGCCCAAGCAACCCAACCGTACCACCAAAGTCTCGCAAAAACTGAAATTGTTTCCTGACAATGACGATGCAAGAACTGTAGAAGAGAATCTGTTTGATGCCGACGTCTATACCCAATTAGCTCAGATTCCTCATGGCTCTGCTCGCATTGAAGCAGAACGTTTGAATAATCTGGACAGAAACGAATTGTCTCGTGCAACTGCTTATTGTACAGCTAGGTGAGTAAGACACAAAATATAAAATTGGATTATTATTGATGTGTGTCCCTAGTGCCTATCATATGGATGATTTATTCAAGTATTTGCGTTCAAAAAGAAGAACAAACAGTACTGCACCAAAACGATTTGATGAGTGGTACGTTGTAATCTCTTATACATATATATATATAAAGAAAGGGGGTTAACGCATAGTTTTTTTGTGTGTGTGTGTGTGTGTGTAGTGTGTATACACCCTATACGTTAAATCCATTACCACCTTCTTCATTAAAAAAAGGACAGACGTCGGTTTTAATATTACCTGAAATGTTCCTGTTTGATTATGGTGTCGTTGTGTTTTGGGGTATGACGTTGGAAGAAGAACTTTCGATATTAAAGGAATTAGAGCCTTTCGAGGAAGAGCAATTAGAGCCTGATGATGTCGAAACCGAGGAATTTCGCTATTACTACAATGAATATTATCAGCCTCGTATCTATAATGACATTATCACCCTGCGTCATCCCTCGAATTATCTAGTTAAATTGACTATCTCGCATGCTATTGCTCAAAGCGTCAAGATGACTTTATTCGAACGCTTGATTGATGATACCATCAATGATACAAAGTATATACCCCAAGTCATGGCCGAAAGTGGAAACATCCAAATGTCCAGGTAAGGCACACACACACACAAACACTATAATCTTCTTTTTTTCCCCGTGCTAATCTTCTACATATACTATTTAGAACTGCTATCACTAAAAAGGTTGGACAGTTATTTATCATGAGAATCAATGTCAATCTTGTTTCGAATATCTTGGATACCCCCGAAATTTTTTGGTCAGAACCAGTTTTGGAACCTCTTTATAGCGCCATCAGAAGCTATTTAGAGATATCTCAGCGTGTAGAATTATTAAATCAACGTGTAGAAGTCATTAGCGATTTATTAGAAATGTTGAAAGATCATTTAAATAGTTCTCACGGTAATAGAGGACAAACAAAGCAAAAGGGAGGGTTTTACTGATGCATAAACTTTCTTTTTCTTTTTTTTTAGGTGAGCATTTAGAATGGATTGTTATTTGGTTGATTGGTATGGAAATTCTTGTTGCCGTCATCACGACAACTTTGGATGCGTTTAGTTTATATTACAACAAGGAAGAATAGTGTGTGGGGTTAATAAATGTTGCAAATCAACCAAAGGGTTATCTTTATTTATTTTTTTTGTATTCTTCTTTCTCAGTACTCTTTATGAGTCTCTTCGTGCACGTTTTGTAGAGGGACCTTCATTCTCCTCCGTTTCGCTGTCATTGGAAACAGCTTCTGTCTTTGCTTTCTCATCCTCTTCTTCTTCTTCCGAGCTCTCTTGATTGATGAGACTCATTTGTATCTTGAAATCTCGAGAGGTACTACGTTTCATGTACTGCATAAAGTCTACCCTGGATTTCCTGCTTAATTGGATCAAATGACGTTCAAATTGTTCCACTGCAAAAATCAAATTGGGAATCATTCTGGATTCCCTTTGAATTTTGGCTCTTTGTTTCAAATTGACTTCCTTCTTTTTACCCTTCTTTTTCACACTGACATTTTCCTGTTGTTGGGATTGTCCGTACACAGTCAAGAACTTGTACATTCTTTCGGTAATTTCAGTACCTGCTTTACTAATTACATTGATGAAATCAGGTGATATATCCTGAGGATAGACGATTTTCTTTTTTTTTTTTAAAAAAAAAAAAGGTGATGTTAGTACTATGAAATAGACTGGAGGGGGTTGTATGGCAACACTTACATATTTCACAAATGTATGCAACGTCCTGTAAGCTTTGACAAGTGTCTTAAATAAGCTTTCTGCATGTACATCAGTTAGTACAGCCTTTACCAACTCGCTTAGAATAATCATGAGTGAAATAAGTCGTTTACAGTACTCCTTTTCAAATATTCTTATTGTATCCTCATCAGGTCCTGCCGCTGCAAAATTCGAAATACAGTTAAATAATATGAATGCAAGTGGCACTGTAAAATAAACAAACCACACAATTTTAAGCGACCGGTACACCAGGTCAGATCATCCAGTGAGGAGTCCAGGAATTCGAATATCTGGGTAGTGATGGTGGAGAATGTTTTGAGATTGATGATTTGGTACGTGATATCAGGTTCTATTTGGCTATCATTTGCTACACCCGTTTCTAAATCGCCTGTAAACAAATGTATATCTTCACAGATACTTTGAACATGATCTAGTTCGCCTACACTTGCACAAGATCGGATCAACAGGGACATAATGTCTTTTGCAAGAACTGAATCTTCAATTGGTCTTTCTCTGGCTAAGTTATTGAGCCATTTGACCACATGTAGTGATCTAGCTGTATAATCTTCGTTTTTCTTATCCAGCCTGTCGATCAAGAATGACGTGATGTGCATAATACCCGAGACTTCCTTATAGATAGGTGTGCGTCCTGACAAGTACCTTGTTACAACTTCTTTTAATTCAAGCACGACCTCCACAATCACTCTGTTTCTAGATTTTTTGATAGGGTTGTGAGGTTGACTGGTTTCTTCTGAAGTATCCAATACCTGATTTAAAAATTCAACAAATTTCTTGGGCCAAACGTTGTTCACGATTTCAAAGATAGAAAGGATCGAAGCTGCAATAGATACAAGTACAGAAGGTGCCTTTTTCGTGGAGTTTTGGTTAGCGTATGTACTATCCGAGTCTTCTTTGGTTAGTATATGCATGTACGTTTGACAGATATCGACACATAATTTGAAATGACTGTCATCTTCTTGAGAATATTCATCATCAATGGACTTTTGAAAAAGAGAGAGAGAAAATTAATATAATAAGAAAAGAAGAAGTTAGAAACGAAGACTTACGGATCTAAGACTATCGCAGGTACTGGTAACTATGAACTGCACCATATCTATATCTTTTCGTAACTCATGAGCAGGAGTATCTGTCTCTTCTTTTGAAAACATGTTCAAAAGCAAGGTTGAAATAAAGTCTAAACTAACACAGGATCGAACTTGAAATCCGGAGTTCTTTTTACCCTTGTCGTTAGTAGAGCCTGTGAGGAGTCCCATAAGAGCTTTGCGTTTTTTATATAGTATGCCAATCATTTCACTGGACTTCTTTGTCAATCCTTTATCCGTATACTCGTATTCCATTGCTACCTGAAAAAAAAGAAAGACTGTAAGTAAACATGTACTTGATTTAAAGAAAAATGTCTTACCTCATAAGCTCCCACCAAAAGAGATGCGTACTGAGTATTTCTTAGTCCGATATGGGTAGCCATATCAGAGCTAGCATTCAAGAGTTCGAAATCCTCCAAAGTGGCTCTTGACAGTCTCAAGACAAAGGATTTCATATTGGCTTTGAATAGCGACAGAGTGTCCCGTGTCACAGAAGGCAGACTTTTGACATGGATGGCATTCATTGCTTTTAATGTATTGGCTAAAAGAATATGGATCGGCTCCAAGATTTTAGGATAACCTCCATTAGTTGCATTTTCTACACAGACTTCGAGTTTGATTGGGTTTGTGCTACTGGGATCTCTTTCAAAGTTTTTAACGAACTTTTTTTTTTTAAAAAAAAAAAAGAATGTGTTGGTTAATGACATAAAAAGTGTTTTGATCTGCATTTACCTGAGCGTAAAGTAATTCGAAAATATCTCCTGCAAATGATGGGTATTGCTGGCTGAGTGATCCTAGCCCTTGATACGCACTGGTTCTAATCTCGCATTGTTGACTAAAACATCTTCTCAATAATCCTAGTGCGATATATGAGAATTGGGGTTCGCTCGTTATCTCTCTCTCCATCGACATCCATCTTACCCAAGATTTCAAAGGCTACACCTTCAGAAGTAGCAGTGGCCTGTCCATCATTTTCGCCGCTGGCAATTTCTGTAAGTTGATCATTTAAAATATTTAAAAATCCACCCACCGCCATTTGACGGCCATCTGTATCCCTAACGAACAGACAAAAATGTTAGCCACGGAAAAGTACAGGCGCAATATTGAGAAGAAACTTACTTTGCAAATAAACTCTTACGAAGAACCAAAATTAATCCGTCCCTGAAATGCTCGTTTGTCTTTGCGATAGGTTGGATTGCCGCCAGTAAATGTTGTGCGGTCGCCAAAGGTAAAAACGAGAGGAAATCTAACGTATCCTTAATCTAATCAAGAGATTAATTTTTTTTTTCGAGGTTCCCACTTATTTATACATATCATCATCTTACGTTGGTGAGATAATTTTCGACGGCGTCTGGATATTCTCTAATAATGTTTTCGAGTAACCTGAGGAAATCTTTTGCATTGTCCGATCTTGATACAATACGTGATGTAATTTGTTCAAGAATTTCCCCGCGTACAACATCGTGGTATTTAAACAATCTCAAAAGTATATCCACGCCGAGATTTGCGACTTGTTCGTGTGGTCCATCACCTTTAACGCCATAGCTTCGACTTGTAGTTGTTCCCGCATCTAAGATGCCATCGTCAATATATATAGGCCCTCTTTTTTTTTTTTTTTTTTTTTTTTTTTTTTTTGATAGATCCGTCTCATTTTACTTACGACCAAAATTATTGGTTGATGAATCCATCAAAATCAACGATAACTGCGTCAAGCTTTGTACAACCTGATCCCAACCAGAGGCAGATTTCTCCACCACATCCAATAACACTTGTCGATACATTTCTGCATCCAAGGGAGAATATTTTGAAATCCAAAGGGAACGATCGGACTTCTCCTTATCCTTATAAATAGACACAATGGACGACTTGAAAAGATCGAAAATGGTGTCTTGAAGTCGGTGGATTCTGGCAGCGGATAATAAACAAGCGATGTTGAATAGTTCGAGTTGACTTGATTTGTTGTTTTTGATCAGTTTGACGAGTTCGTCTCCCAAATCCTTGTCCTGTTTGATGGCGAAGGTTATGTGCAACATTACTGTACCTTCCATACGACTATATAGGCACTTATGTGTTATTTCTTTCGGCCTGTTTATTATTTTTATAAGTACCTGGCATCATCTGCTGATGTAGAGTTAAAGTAATCTAAAATACCACTCAAAACAAGACGTTTGTGACCCTATAGCTGATTTTGTCAGTATATTCCGAAGATAATAATCTTTTCCGGCAAATCACCTTTCTGGATAAAAGCAAAAGCTGATAAATATAAGGCGGCACTCCTTCCATTTCCATCTCTGTCAATTTTCTTTAATATAGAGAAGTGTAAGTTCTGTGCTACAAAAAAAAAAAAAAAAAAAAAGGAAAGGGTAACTAAAGTTTACCTTGTCATATGCTTTACAATAATTTCCAATTGAGGCGACGTCAATTCCATTTCATTTAAAGCAGAAGATATACCGACAATTAATTGATGATTCCATTCGGCTTCCAACAAGCTTTGAAAGATATCGCTCAAATCATTTAATTCATCTGTGGCAGATAAGACGTTCCAGATCTTTGAAAATAGGTCTAGTATACGAAGCTGAACAGGTTTATTTTCATTCATGATTTCGGTAATATCCATTGCTGCTTCCTTCAACATGTTTCTGGGTAAAAGATCAATCTATTTGAACTGTCAAAAAAAAAAGATTGCATGAAAACAAACTGTGTAATCTTACTTCGGGTAAAATTAAATTGACCACACTGGATGCTTGCTTAGATTTCTCTAATTTTTCTCGTTCCTCGTTGCTCAACCTATTCAAATCAGGCATGATTTAAGCATCCAATTCTGTGTAATGAAAACCCACCCGCTTACCATGCAATTACAGATTTGACAACCATAAACCTACGCTCGATATATCCACCCTCGATAGGCGAACCTTAAAACAAAAAGGACAACAAATGTTATCAACTATGAAACAATGATATACAAGATTTTTTTTTATTCAGCTTTACCAATGAGAATAGAACGAAGTAAGAGCACTGTATCCACGTCATTTGAACAATTGTAATCGTCCAACTTTTCTTTAACAAGCGCAGCAATCTAATTATTATTCTTTTAACTGACATGCAGGAATGGCAATGAATGGTCGCTTACTTCTTGGGAAGAACTTTCGTTCAGAAATTCAACAAGTTTTCCCTTGCTGGTTTGTTTATTTAACCTAAAAATCTCGACGTCCATATTTATGAAAGAGGGGAGAAAAAAAGCGCGTTTATAGAAAAAATAAACGGGTTGGCGTTAAAGCGCGATACCAAACCCAAACTCCCTCTCGTGACTCGCTTCAAAATAGGTTCTTTGGAAAAGGAATATGTTTTTATCTCATGCTCTATCTTCTTTTTTATACATCTGCAGAAACCAACCTGGTGGTTCCCTTGCGATCAATAAAGAAGTAATGTTTAAACGAATTATCAAACGATCTGCACCGATCCCTCAATCTAGGTCAGGCTTGACAATTCGTCGTTCTTGAATACGCGGCTAATTTGACTAATGTTCAAGCTGTACATCTGTTTGGTAAGTACTAAATTACAGCCATGGTACTAACGTAGGATCCGATAAAAGGGTTGTAGAGTAGAAATTATACCCAAGGGTTGTCATAACGCATAGGAGAAAAACAGTTATGTCTGCCATGATATAGCAATTAATCGTGTGATTTTGGTTGTGGCTTCTGGTTAATGACTTTCATCATTTATTTTTTTTGGATAAGATAAACCTTTATTATTTAAGGTCTGGTAGATAGTGCCCGATAATTATGCAGTTCTGACAAAATAATAAAATACGATGTGCTGTTTTCGTACGCGATATTAAATCACAGGTCCTTCATGTGTAATCAAACAGAGTTCTTCAAGTAGCAAAACATATCTATTATTAGACTTTGCAGAGTGTCCCATTGTTACGACTATTTTATTATACTCATTAACTAAATAGGCTTATTGTTTTCACATCGTTCACTTATTGCATTAACTTTCTTTGTTTATGCCATAGATATATCAGGCTTTCAAAAAAGGGATATTTTCGCTTTATTTTTTAATTTTTATAAAACAATATAACCATGGCTGACGAAATTACTAGAGCCGAAGATAACAACAGAGGTGCTGAAAATGATGCCGTAGAAGATGTACCGGCTGCAGAAGATTTAATCATTTTAGAAAATGTAGAAGCTGCAGAAGGCGCTCAAAATTTAGAGGCTGGTCTGGAAAACCAAGGAGAACAAGCCGCAGAGGATGCTCAACAGGATCAAGATGATGAAACGATAGTGGCTGTTCTGGACAATCAAGATATACAAGAAGATCAAGCTGCTAATGTTAATGAAGATGCTGCGATTGTAGTTAACCCAGAACTAGGTAATACACTTGTAATATATACCTTTCTTTAACCTCTTTCTGATTTTATTTTTTGTTTTGATAGTACAGTGTCCATTATGTCTTCAATTCTTTAGAAGCGTAAGGGGTGTACAAACTCACATGGCTCGAAGTGCCGTATGTAATCAGGATCGCAGAAATATTTTTACAGTGGATCATCAACTGGCTCTCAATCCTAACCTAGGTCAAGCTCTCATTCCTGTCCCAAGACGTAGACGTTCCCCTACACAGCAACAAGTTGAAAATGTTTCTGTCAACATATTCGAAATACTCTTTATGTCCTGTTCTTGGGCTGCCTTTTTGGCCGAAAAAATATTTCTATGTATTGCGTGTGTTTTCTTTTTTATTCTCATTCTAAGCAACAGTAGCTTTCTTACTTTTGATGACACCCTTGCATCAAAAGCGGCAAGTTTCCTGGAAGAATTCCAGCCCAATCCAATCGGTACTGCTCTGAGTACTGTCGGGTGGATATTTACTTTTTTGATCGACAAAATATTTCAGTAGATAATTTATCGTTATGTACACATTTATTAATTAATAAATTCAAATATATGGGTTATTTAAACATCGTTGTCAGGTTTGTCTTTGCTGTATATCGGATTAATGATCCACTTGCCCCATTTCTGTATAGATACAGCAATCACAAAAATATTTACCTTTCGGTAAATAGAAATGAAGTCTCAGAATCCCAGGTAGAGCAGAATTTTAAGCTTCTGTAAATGTGCGGTATTTATGACCTCCCTTTACCACAGCTGGTAAACTATCAGCTGTCGTTTTGTCCTAATCAAACAGCTCACGTATGTGATTATATTTGGAAGACGAGGAATGATGTAGACACAATTTAAAATAGAAAAACAAGTCAAATAATTGAATATATGAAGATTGCTAAACAAGAACTCGATCATATCAGGATGGGGTATATTGCTACTAATAATACGAATAACGCTACTTTAGAAAACCTTTTGCAAATACTGTTTATCTACATCATTCTCAGAATATATTTACCTGTATTGCTACACTTGCAATATATACCATTCGCGATAGAGCCGTTTGGTGATACTCATTTATTCACCATGTATCCTAAAAGTTGTGCAGTGAAGTAAACGTAAACCAAAATAGGACAAGAGTACCGAAGGCCTCCTTCAATAGAAAAGCTTGTTCTCATACCATTGAAGCCTGTTCACAAGACGAAACCCTGTGGCGATAAAATATTTATGCTATAAAATATTAATAGACTCAGAGCATAAATATTACTCTTGTCATTTCAGTTTTAATAACTGTTGACCTCTTTGACAAAAAAAGGCATGTTTATTATCTTCCCCCCCCCCCGTTAAAATAGGTATAGCCAAAAGAGATCTTACGAAGGCACAGATTTTGGCATTGCAAGGCATGCACTTTTTAGGGTTTTGTTTAAAAGAAAATGTTTAAGGCTAATGAAGATAATCGCAAGTGTATATGCCTAATGTAAGAGTTGGACCAATGAATATGTTGAAAAGCATGAGTCTTCACAGTAGAAATGTTGCGGTTGCTTGTTTGAGTCATGTAAGGGTAAATGGTAATGTTAAAACTAACAATTCAAGGGTAAGCACAGATTTCAATAAAACTTTACCCTTACACGCTGTTCTTATGCCCACCAGTAATAATAAAGCCATAAATCTTCCTGTCGGTACGTGGCTCCTTGTTATTCTAAAAGTAACAGTAGCGAGACCCATTAATTCTGCTTCTTAAAACTACATCTTATAATGAATAATATAACTTGGTCAAGCGCAATCAACATGTGTATGTCTAAACATTATAGAACCAAAGTGTAAAATGGCTGTTGAGATCTTTTGATCCTGAACTGTTCATGCAAGCACAGATAAATAGAGTTTCATTTTTTTTTTTTTTTTTTTTTTTTTTTCATAAATAATCGTATTTGCACTTCATTTAGTCAATTCCTATCAGACCAGATGAAATCCGTTCTTCCAATAGATTATTTTTTTTTCTTTTGTTTATTACACCGTTCTTTATCACGGAATATTTTCGTTCCTCCTTACATAAGTTTATCGATAGATTACATAATTCAGCCAATCACAATCATTCCACATGTAAAAAAAGGATCTAAAAATTTAAACTCATTTGAAGTATTTCCCGGATTGGCCAAAGTGTTTTGAAACAAAACTGGGTAAAGGCGTTCCATGAGATAGAGAAAAAAAAATTAATTGTCGTGGGAGTCAAAGAAAAAAGTATATAAGAACTGTATTTTTTTGTTTTTCTCGTTCTTTTCTTTCTGTTCTTCATTATTGTATTTCAAGAATCACACATATGCCGGAGGTTCAACTTAACAACAGAAGTGACAGACGCGTAGCACAAAGATTTGACGCCAAGAGACAAAGTAAGCGGGAAAAACAAATGATAAAGGCGTCTCCAAATGCAAGTAAGTACAATGGAAAGAAAAATCGCAAAAAAGTATCCAGACAATCCCAAATCGCTACCACGACACCCATCGCTTCCGTGAAGCCGCGTGTTACTACTCCTTCTGGTGATACCAGTGTGCCTGTTGAGATGTCACTCGTTCACCAACAGCCAGCAAAACAACAAAGCGGTCAAGAACATGACAGCAGCTTTGAAACTGAAACAAATTTACCAGTACAAGAGCAAGCTGTATTTGAGTTGGAAGAGGAGCAGATGCCAGAAATACTTGATGAAGAAGTATTTGACGTAGAAGAAGAAACGTCTACTGAAGGAGAAGATACAGTTGAAAAGGAAGTGCTTGCCGACAAGTCATCAATCATTTCAACTCCAAAAGAAGAGCTCATCATGGAGACTACTTCAAGCCTGGAGAATGAAAAAGACAATCAAGCAGTTGACAATAAGGTCAATCAAAAGCAAGATGACGGGCTCTCAGATAAAAATATTACTGCGCAGCAAGAAGAACCCCGATCAAATGAATCGGCTGATACTGTTCAAAAATCGTCTCAGGCTAGCAAGAACGACACCATCCAAAACAAGCAAATGAACAAGGAGTCTTATCCTACACAGTGGTTTGTATTTCCAGAGACAGATATTACAAACAGCCCTGCTGTATCCATCGAACTCACAACGGTGTCTCCCACAAAAAAGAAGAATGTTATTTTGCGCCTTTTCAAAAAATCAGCAGCTCATATCATCGAGAAAAACAAGCGAGTGAAGAAGGAGTTACTTCATACAAAGCAGCTTGTGTTTTCCAAAAAAGATATTACAAACAGCTCTGTCGCATCCATCGACCGTACTAAGGAATCTCCCGCAAAAAAAACGAACATTATCTCGCGCCTTTACAAAAAATCAGTGAAAGCGTGTGATATGTTCATCAATGACCAAATCCAATTAATTGGTAAAGCCAATCGTATTGGTATTATTTCAAACAAAAAAACCAACCCCAAGAAATCCTTCAAGAATCTCTTGAAAAGATAATTACTCTCCTTGAGTCATACCATCCAACACATATGCATAACACTCATTATAATATTCCCATTGCTTTTAAATAAATAAAAAAAAATTTCAATACCAAAACAGCTTGTCCTTTGCCACTGACATCGTATTTGTGATTGTAACAACAGATATGGTAAGCTTTATATCGCTGTTTGTATCTCTATATACGCAGTATCTTGGCTTTGAAAAAAGTAAATAAAGCTTGGGATGGATTGAGTAATTTTATTGTGCTTTCGGGTATCGTGGCATATAAGACTCGCAGGCAAGTTTAGCACCAGATGATTTAAAGACAATTGAAAAGGCTTGTAATAAGCACATTGGGTATTTGTAATCCAAGGTAAATAAATCCCATTCTACACGGCCAAATATAATCCAATGTATAAATATGTCAGTGTATGTCGGAGTCAAAAACATTCAACTTACAATCATTATCATGCACAATTTGAAAATTTTTGACAGATGCTTATGTGTTTCTAGGCAAGTATTGAGATTATTCTACTATGACTATAGTTTCATTTTACCTTCATTCCACGGAGGTCTTTTGTTGTGAAGCACTAAAAGATCTCTGGCACACCAATAAAAATAAATCATCACATCACATCAAAAATGGATAGCAATATAAAAGTTATATATGAATCACGTATTAACCTCCTTTTTCCATTCATACCGTTTAAGTCTGTTCACAGGGAACAGTTCTGTGGTGAGTAAATATTTACTCTGCGAAAAGAAATACAATCGAATAGGCCTGGACTAAATGGAATATCAATATATTATGAGCATGAATATTATTCTTGTCATTTGATGTTGATCCCTCTGACTAATACCTAAATACTCTTTATGTAAGGGCGTAATTTAAAGAGATGCTTATTATTTATTATCACCAAGTTATTACGTTATTGGACAATGATGTGTTGTTTATTCTCCCTATAACTATCAAGTTCTTTCTTATTGGCCATGATAACGTTTTTAAATCTTGATTTTTTTTCGTGGTATTAAAGTTCTAAAAGTATCGCTTTTGAATTTTACTTAAAACTTTATTTCCCCATGAAAACCAAACCCTACGTTGATTTGCTTTTTTCTTCATAAACATTATATATTTCATCCATTTTCGTTTAATGATATATATATATATTATTTGTCCTTTGCTGCAGGATCGATTGATAATGTAGTCTAACTGAAGTTTATAGAAAAGTTTTCCAACATAATACTTCTCAATATGAATCTTACTGCTATATTATCCACTCATCGTCGCAATTTGTTTTTAAAAAAAAAACAAATTATGTATTAGTTGCCGTTCATTTAAGTAATATATCCTGCAATTAATGCCTCTAATATGAATAATCTCGTCCTATCTTATTTAATACAGAAACATCAATAATACTGTTAATAGCAGTTTTAAACAGCGGGTATGAGACGAAAGTTTTCATTTCCGTCACATGTAGCAAAACATAGCCAAAATTACTTAGTCTACAATAGATGTCTGTAGTACATGAACGTTTGATATATGTATTTTTTTTTAAAAAAAAGGAGGAGAGTTTATTGTACTAAGTGATCCATGCTATATGGAGTAAAACTTAAAATGTATACAAAAAAATACCACGAGTATTTGATTGCGTATGCACTACTATAGTACATTAAGCCTTGTTGCATGCAAATTTCACCAATTGTTTCTGATTGTCCATATAAAGGGATTTCAAATAAGCCTAGTTCTTTGTTTACGCGAAAGAATGTAGTTGTAGCATTATTAACATCAGATACCCAAAGGCTAAAATAGTCGGTAGCTCCTTGAATCAAGTTTGGAATTCCAGCAATATGTTTGCTTGAAATGCGATCTTTGTAGTCTATTGTTTTGATATTAGAAAAGATAAAAAAAAAAAAAGAATCATTATATAGGCTTACTTGCAACATAGCCATCTCCCAACCGATCTTTAGCTAAACTGGTAAGCAGATTTGTTGTGTGCGAGACAGGCTTTTTCTCTTTCCTTACAATTGAAGGCACATATTTCATTGATTTTTGTACAGACGGGATTTGGTCATAGATGTTTTGTACAGAAGGGATAGTACCAAGGGCAGTCTTTACGGAACTTAGAAAGTCAACGACTTTTTGTACATTAGGATCATAACCTGTTTGCGCTACAGCACAAAATACGAAGCTTAAAATGATCACAAAGTTAAAAGTTCTGGCAAGCATAATATTGTAAGAAATTTATTGGCCTTGCTCTTACCAATATGCTCTTCAATTATATATCTTTTTCATGGATTTAATTGTGTCCAAAGAATATAAAGAGCCCATTGTTTCAATTTCGTAGTTCTTTTTGTCTACATCAATTTGTGGTTTAGCCTCATACTAAAGTGTAGATAATCAAATTAAAACCATAATAGGATATTGTTGTGTCATTTCTAAATTTATTTAACGGGTCCATATGTGTATAATACAATAGCACAATAAAACCATTATTAACAAGAAATGATGTCTAATTTGAGTAAAGCCATACTATTCAAGCTGTAGTTAGGCATTGTAAACCATGTTTAAGACACGTAATCAACTAAAAAGCGTCTTGTTACAATAACTAATAAAGGAGGAGTATCGGCAATGTATGTTTAAAAAAGACAGTTTTTAAATAATTAAAACACCATATAAAGAACCCGCAATTTTGATCTGAAGCAGATACGCGATCCGTAGTGGTTTATTGGAATCGAATATAATCTATCACTAGGATGTCTTTACACAATAAAACTTTCAATCATTAGATCACAATCTTTTCTGGATATAGTGTATCCCAAGACATTCCCACTATAATAAAATAAAAAGATCTGGTATGAAATAGGTGTAAATCTTTCGGATTCAATTCTTTTGACCGTCATACCTAAATAAATTTATGTGATTAAGACGAGGCTATATTTTTTTTTTTTTTTTTTTGGTTCAAGTTATTACCATAAAGAGGAGCTGACTGAAGCACACCTGTAGGTAAATAGCACTCATTGTTGAAAATGCAAGCTTGTTTACCACCTTCAAACTCAACTTGTAAAATTCTTAATAATGCGACTGTGCCTTTCTGACTCGCTGCAACGTATAATTCTAATTCTGGTAACCATTCTACCATATTGATTCTATCCAATATACTCAATAGCTGATCTGACCTTACGTCTACCTTGCTGATTATATTGTGTTCAGCCCTAATTCGACTCATCTTTGGTGTGGTTGTATTCATCATCATGATGTCTTTAGCTGTGCTAATCATTAAATATTCCCCGAGTGTTGTTTGTTTGTCCTTGGATTTTTTTTTATTATCCACTAAATTATTGGTACTGGTATATTTGATTATGTTGGAGGAGGGTGATCTGACCATATTAAAAGTTGGGGTATCTGTCGCATTGGTTTGATCTTGTGCGATTTCTTCATTGTTTGATGAGGACGGGGACAAAGGCTGTTCTATTGTAGATGCGGTTTCATCTATTGTACTATTTTGCATTACAGATACAATTTCGTCACCCCATCCATCTCTATTAGCGTCGTTATCTTCGACAATGGTACGAGCCCAATCATCCTGAGTAGGTAATGATGGAGCCTCCGAAGTCCACATATGAATCTCATCTTCATCATCCGCGTTTAAGTCATCAAAAAATTCCTCTGGATCCGCAAATTCTTGGCTGTCCAACTGATCACTTCCTTGATCCGTCTCTTGAGACTGCTGCTGAATGATTTCATCTCTCAATCCTCTGTTGAATCTACTTTCGGATTCATTTTCGGCCTGTATTTCATCTTCAATGCTGTCTGAAAGTGCTGCTGGTGCATCGAAACGAAAAATGGTATTGTCATGGTCGCTGGTAAATTCATCCTCACTTATATGACTTTCATCTGTGCCACTACTTGGGTGAGTGCTGTGATGCGTATCTGGTATTTCCATATTATTGTAATCTTCCTCATGTCGCCTTTGTAGCTCATAGAGTTCTTCCATAAATTCTTCTTCCTCTTGCGACAAAGAATTATCCCAAATGGGAGTATCCATTTCGTCGACATCATACATTGAAAAATCAATCTCTTCGTCACCTAAATCATGTACATTCGATACATTTGTAGGAAAAATGGGACTTATAGCAGAGTGATGAAGACCCAGATTTGAAAATGATGTGGATCGACCCTGACAGACTCTTTGCAAGAAAGCTTTGCTGATGTTCTTATCTATACATACAGTATATTTGAAATGTCCTGGTTTGATAAATTTGGCCGACCAAAACCTATGAAGAGCAGAGTCAGGCTGATGAGTTACAAAAATACTTTTAACTAAGTTACCATTGATCATATTCGTCTGCGTGGGCAACAGAAGGGGTTTTCTTTTGTGTTACGACTTTTCTTGTGGTAATGTCCCATACTCTACATGTCTGATCAATAGACGCACTTGCAAGATACTTGCCTGTTTCACTGAAATCGATATTGGGAATATTATGCTCATGGCCTACTAATTCGATTTTTAATTCTTTGCCCAATAAATTGCCAGTGTTGTCGGATCCACCGTAAATCGGATTGTCTCTTGTCATTTCCAATATATTATAAATGGTGATGATCTTATTATTTGCAGAAACCGCTACTAATCCTTGATCTGCATGAATGGCTATACCCCAAGTAGCTATTTCGTTACTATTTCCCCCAGAAAAAAAAAAATTCAGTACGCTGTTCTTTTTGCCAAAAGCCTTGGTTATTTTTTTACTTTAAAACCATGGGAGCTTCGTCCAAGTGCTCGGTACGCCAAATACAGACTTCACCATTTTCGGATGCTGAGACTAAGACTTCTTTACCAAGTAATCTACTAACTTTGATAGCGTTGATCACGTATGGCTACTTTCAATATCAGTCTCTCGATTTTGTAGTCTAATGCATTTTTCTTTTACCGATTCTAAAGCTCCACCTATTTGTCGAGCGTTAGGACTTGCTAGAGTTGTATGTGGGTCTTTAAAAGGTGAATAGGGTGTGTCGATTGTGTATACTTTCACTCTATAGTTCATGGCTATCTCCCAAAAACAGAAAAAAAAACCGTCAACAACTGAATGTGTTGGGATCTACAGACTGCGTTGACTTTACCTACAAAGAATGTGCAAGGAATTACGTTACTTGCCGCGCATAGATTCATTCTCTAGAGAAATACAATCAGTTTGAAAAGATAAAATAGGGGTTGTGCAGATATTACATATAACATTGCAGCTGACATGTTTATGGTGTTGGTGTTTTGAATGACAGATACCTACAAATGAAGGTAAATGGGACCGTAATGCAACTGTTTCGAGTAATTATTTTTATTTTACATTCAATAGATCATAGTCTTCTAGTACTTTATGAACCGGTGTGTCCATGTGCGCGGCCATTGTTTAGTTTGCAAAAGTGTGTTAAAAAAAATTATTTTTTTTTACTCGCCGGGACAATCGCATGAGTGAAATTGGGGTGATACCAGTAAACGCTGTGACTTTGTCATTGATCTACCGCCACCTGGAGCTTAATTTTGCAACGCTTGTTTTTGCATTACTATCCATTCTACTTTGAAATATTCACGTTGTATATGGAGATATTTAGACACGAAGCAGTCGATTCGTTAACCGAAAATACAATACACAACCAAAAAGAGCCTGCCTGGTAGTAATGGGTATGTTAAAGATCTAATTTTTTTTTTGAGATCATGCATCGTTAATGTTTTGTGTGATATTTGAAAAAAATTATTTCTGATCTATCGGCTCCGAATAACTGGATCAATCTCTAAGGCAGAATAAAAGATCTGAGACAGGAGATCTAAATATGTGATGCTTCTAGACTTTTGTTTGTCAAGAGCCTAATTAAAGACAGCTAAGGCATACGATGGCTTTATGCAAAGAAACTATACCATGTACGTGAATTTTGTATTCCAAACTTCAGTTGTACTTTAGCTTTCATTCTTTGTTATATCACAATATAACATTGAATTATATCGTTTTATCAATGTGATTAAAGTTATCATATGATGCAGTTACAGTTACACATGTGGATGACAGGTTTACAACTTTCTTTCAATTTCACGAGAGGAGGCACTGAAAATCTGGTGACATAGTGGTGTGCCGTTTTATCACAGAATATTAATTGTCCTGTCGGTTCGTGGTTAAAGACATTTGCAAATAAAACCATGAACAACTTCCCTGTAAAGCGAAAAGTAAACTGTGCCTTGTTTGAAAGGTAAAGCGATCACAAACTCAAGAACATGATCAGACATTGATGTTTTCAGGATGGATGTAGCAAATTGACAAACCCTTTAGTCTTCCTGTATGTACTCTTTTATTTTTATTTTTTTGCGTGGTCAGTGATGTTTAAATGTACAAAAGAGTTCAACACAGGTAAATCCCAAAAACCAATTATGGTCCCGCCCAAAAAAAAAAAAAAAAAAAAAATGATGACGTGACTTTTGATGATAGAATCGAAATAGGGTGTGGGGGGGAGTTCAAAAACTAGGAAGGGCATACCTGAAAAAAAAAAAAAAGTAAGCCCTAGTTTTAAAAAAAAAAAAAAAGATTTATTATTTTTTTTTTCTTCTCCCGCACGTACTCCCAATACTACACCCCACTCTTCCCTTTATTTAATAATGTTGGCCGCCTCTCGTAAAGCCATTATCAGCACTGCCTCCAAGGCCACCTATGCTACTGCAGCTACCGCCAATGGACTTCAAACTTCTGTTGCCTCCAACGGCATTAAGGTTACTTCTAGCCAAGAACCCGGTCAAACTGCTTCTTTAGCTGTTGTTGTTAATGGTGGTTCCAGAGCCGAATCTGGTAAGAATGCTGGTGTTGCACACTTCTTGAAGAACTATGGATTCAAGGTAATTTTCTCCCCATTTGTTTTTTTATACACGCATATAAATTATACTTGTTACAACACATACACACTTTCAAAATAAGAACGACATTCGAACACACTTCAGTACAACAATACCAACACCATATCCACTTTTTCTTTCTTTCACCATTACTTTTTATATTTAAAGCACACACATTAATATTTAATTGGAATGGTTACTAACTTTTTTTTTTTTCTGCTTGTTACTTTTTTTTTTTGGTGATTAGAACAACGCCAACCGTACTGCTTTCCGTATTGCTCGTGAAGCTGAACTTGCTGGTGCCGTCTTATCCTCCAACCTCAGCCACGAAGCTCTTGTCTACTCTGCTGAACTTTTGAAGGGAGATGCGTAAGTTAATGAAAGAAAAAGAGGAACTAAAAGAAGAGAATGGGAGGGAGAGAAAAAGAGAGACAGTGTTATATATATAAAAAGAAAGAAGAGTAAAATGAAAAACAAAGATAGACTAATTGTTCTTTTTATTTTTATGAATGATAGTGAATTATTTGCTGAAATTTTAAGCGATGTTGTCACCAAGCAAAAGTATCAACAACATGAATTCTACGATGTTGCACACCAAACTGCCTCTGAATCTGCCAGTGCTTTTGCCACTGCTGAGATCAGTGCTATTGAGAATGCTCATCAAGTTGCTTTCCGTACCGGTCTTGGTAACTCCATCTTCGCTAAGCCTACTGCCCGTATCAACAACGATGCTGTCAAGGCTTATGCTCAAGAACTTTTCACTCAAGATAACATTGCCCTTGTCGGTACTGGTATTGATCACCAAGTTCTCCAAAACTTGGCTGAGACTTACTTCAACTTGCCTTCTGGTAAGCTCTCCTTGACCGCCTCTACATACTATGGTGGTGAATCTCGTATTGAGAACGTCTCCAGCAAGGGTGAATATGTCCTTGCCTTCGAAGGTGCTGCTGCTGACTCTGCCGAGTTCGCTGCTCTTCAAGTCCTCCGTCACGCTCTTGGTGGTGAGGTCAATGTTAAGCACACTGCTGGTTCCGGTATCCTTGCTCAAGCTGCTGCCAAGTTTGCTGAAGGTACTGAGATCAAGGCCTTCAACTTGGGTTACTCTGATGCCGGTCTCTTTGGTCTCCAAGTTTCTGCTGCCACTGCCGAAACTGGTGCTGCCATCTCTGCTGCTGCCGAACAATTGAAGGCCGCTGCTAAGGGTCTTTCTTCTGAAGACTTCTCTAGAGCCGTTGCTCAAGCCAAGTTCGCTGCCACTGCTGGTTTCGAAACTCGTCTCGATCGTCTCCAAACCCTCGGTGTCCAGGTAAGGATTTTTTTTTTTATAAAAAAAAAAAAAAGTAGTCATAGTTACTAATAATGAACATAGGCCCTCCGTTCTGGCAAGTATACCTCTGCTGCTGAATCTGTTGCAGCAATCGAGAAGGTCACTACTGCTGATATTGCTCAAGTAAGGATAGATAAAAGGATGGGAATGATATGAATGGATTAAACTAACACGTTGTAAAAATAGGTTGCTGAAAAGTTATTGAAGAGCAAGACTACCACCGTTGCCCTCGGTGATCTTACTAGCTTGCCTTATGCTGATTCCGTCTCTTTGTAATTTAAAAAAAAATCCACTAAACATTTACACAATACATACAAAAGACCTACTACTACAAAAAAAAAAAGAATAAGAGAATTTTGAAACAATAACCGGGCTTTGGGAAAATATACATAAATTATTTTTATTTATTTATTTACTTGGAAAAATCTACATGTGTGGAAGGAGGGGGTGGGCGGATTAGGGCTAAGGATTTTTTAAAGCATGATATTTCTTTGAAATTTCTAAAAATCGGCTTCCAAAGGTATCAAAAGTTTCTTCAGGCCAGTTTGTTACCATGTTCAGTTCTCTCCTTGTGATAGGTAACTTATCACACTAATTGAAAAAAAAAAAAAGAAGAAAGGGTGTTAACTTGATTAAGCCGATATAACTTTTTTTTTTACAAGTAAAAATACTTACAATGGTTTGAAACGAAGCATTCGTAGCAATTTGGGCTGAAGCGCGAATATTGTATTTATGCATTAGTGCCATTCTTTCCGCTTCTAATTCTTTATAGCATTGTCGGTACATTTCCATTTGCTTGCTTGATTTTTGTGCGATAGGTCGAGTAGCCCCTAACGATATGTTAGGCAGCACTCTGCCAGTAGGCGGTGCAGCAGGCCTAGGCTGTGAAAAATTATTAATGGCGTTGGTAAAACTTCTTGCATTGCCATTAATGCTACTACCACTGCTACTACCGCTACTACTATTGCCACTAGACATCATGCTGGTGGCTGTAACAAACCCTGTATTCATGTGATGTGGTATAGATGTATTTCGTGATCCCTATATTTATATCATCCTACAATGTTAGGCATATATACATGGACAGTTTGAAAGGGGAAGGAACTTACGTTTGCCCGGAAACTGATCGTAATTTTTTTAGATCCGTTTATAACAGACGGAGCCTTGGAAGCAATCTATTTAAAAATAAATATGAGCTGCAAACGTTATTACAAAAATGAAAAATTGGCATTGTGGACACATACTTGAACTTCGGATGTAGGATATCCAGCACGAGACATGGTATATTTTTCTTTTAGGGCGCCCTCATTTACAAGAGCTCGTAGTAGACGATCGATGTCCTGCTTGCTTAAATCCTTGCCTCTACCATAGCCGGGTAAATGATCATGACCGTGTTCCATAATTCTTTTATTCTTCATGCCACGATAGATGTCTACCAACTGAGCCAATGTGATGGCCTCTCCGCCCAAGGCTTCCACCATTTGAATAATACGAATGGCATCATCCGACATGTCTTTAAACGTACAAGGAGAATCTGCATTTCGAATACAATTATCGCACATCTTCTTACATGCAGCCGCTGTAAACGATTCCCCAAAGTAACCCATGATTTGTTTACGACGACAATCTACTTCGTTATCACAGAATTTTGTCATGATGGTTAAATTGGCACGTTGACGTTGTTTTTGCTCAAAATTGCCATCGCCTTTATCGATGAGAAAGTTATGTGTTCGGGTATCGCCAAAAGAATAATAGAGTCTACAGATAGAGGGATTGCCATCACGACCAGCGCGACCTGTTTCTTGATAGAAGCCCTCAAGGGAAGAAGGAACAGAGTAATGGAGTACGAACCGTACATCTGACTTATCGATACCCATACCAAAAGCAATGGTAGCAGCAATGACTTGAACTGCACCGGATTGCCAATTACGTTGAACGAGACTTCTTTCGGCAGGTTCTAAAGCAGCATGATAATGTTGGATAGAGACTTGATGATTATTTCGTAATTCTTCCGCTACTTTTTCACAATCCTTCTTTGTACAACAATAGATGATACCCGATTGATTGCGACGTTGTTTGATAAAGATACTAATATCCTCCAGAGCTTTTTTACCTCCTTTGGGAACAATTTCGTACCTATTATATTTCGGTTAGTATAGAGAAAAAAATAGAAGGATATATATATATAAATTACAATAAATTTGGTCTGTTAAAACTTTGCTTGAGCACTTTACAATTATGCATACGTAAATTATGCAAAACATCTTTTTGGACAGGTTCATTGGCGGTGGCTGTTAAAGCCATGATGGGTACATCAGGGTAATCATCTCTGAGCGTGCCTAATAATTTATAGCTTGGTCTAAAGTCATGGCCCCATTGCGACACACAATGTGCTTCATCAATCACAAAGCGAGCCAATTTATGTCTTCCGTTGAGACTTGTCAAGGCAGACCTCAACTGATTCGATTTATCCAGTAATTCGGGTGTAATGTACAAGATGCGAGTTTCAGGATTTTGAGCATTGATATCGTCAAATACCTCCTTTCTCGATCTGACATCCATCGTACTGTTTAGCATCCTGGCACGAACACCTCTTTTCGTTACAAGTTGCTCTACTTGATCTTGCATTAAGGATAAAAGCGGGGAAACGACAAATGTAATACCAGGTCGAGGGGAATTTGGAATGATGGCAGGTAATTGATAACAAAGACTTTTACCTCCTCCCGTAGGCATCAAAACAAATACATCCTCGCCCTTTATGGTGGTATTGATAGCCTCCAATTGGTTGGTTCTGAATTCACGTAAGTTGAATACTTGAATTAATGCCTTTCGTACATCTCTACTCCAACCATAAGTAGGTTGTGTAGATTGGGACGGTAAAGTAGCACTAACAATAGATGATTTCGACTGTGGTGGTAGTGCTGGTGGTGCTGGTGCTGGTGCTGGTGGTGCTGGTGCTGATGCTGCTGGAGCAGATGGTCTAGAGAAAAATGGAGAGACTTCGACCTTTTCACTATCATTCTCATCCTCATCCAAGACGAGGATAGTAGCAGGAGAATCCATATCAGCAAGCATCTTTTCAAGACGTGATTTTTCCTTTGTGAGACGTTCTCTTTTGGCTACCAGAGTCTTTCGTAGATTTCCAGCCTTGTTTACCATATTTTCGACAATATCGTTATTGCAGACATTTAAATCCTCTTTCAGCTGCGACAATTGTTTGTTGATTTCCTGCTTTGACAAGCTACTGGTAGGCTCCATTTCCATCACGAAATCATTATCAACAGTGAAAGCAGAGGTTTGTGGTGGTGCAGGATGAGATACAAAGTCATCAGGACCGAAATCATCATCGTTTCCAAACTCGTCCATGAAATTATCCAATGCGATAGGTTCAATATCTTCAAAGAAAGCTTCTTCGTCTAACGTAGAAGATTTGAATCGCTTAGGCTGACTGTCTGTCAAATCGATGGTGTCAAGAACCTCAGACTGCCTTTTCGAACTATCTCTGTTGTCATTTGTGCTGTCGTTCATGTAGGTCTTGTTTGATGAAAATGCTGTTGTGTTGTTTGTGGAGTAGGATGTGTTGGTATAGGTGTCTGAAAAACGGTTTACGGAGCTACTTGAAGCATTATAAGTGGAGGTACTACTTGGTGCATTATAAGTGGAGGTACTACTTGGTGCATTATAAGTGGAGGTACTACTTGGTGCATTATAAGTGGAGGTACTACTTGGTGTATTATATGTGGAAGTACTACTTGGTGTATTATATGTGGCTCTACTTGGTGTATTATATGTGGAGGTACTACTTGGTGTATTATATGTGGCTCTACTTGGTGTATTATCTGTCGAGCTTGTGCTGAATCGATTTGACAAGGTGTCGTTAGTTCTATGAGGGGGCACTGGGTTTGGGTTTGAAGTATATTCGTTGGGAGAATGAAACTCATTACTTGTGCTGGAATTGCGTTCACTTATGGGAGGTGTTGGTGGTAGGTTTGAGGGTGAGGTTGAATCTAGAGAAATGTCAGTCCATGAGACTATTTTATATAAAATACTACATACCTAGCACAACCGGTTTAAATATTTTGGTGTGTTTTGTAGTAACAACGGGGAGTATGGAGTCATTAAACCAGGAGACACATTGGTCATAATTACTCGAGGTTGTTTTGTTGGTTGATTTTTTCCTCATGCTTAAATGAAAATGTATGTAAAGAGACACAAAAAAAAAATCTGTTGGCAAACAAACCTATTAATTTTTTATTGAAAACGCGCCTTAAAAAATGGGTTTAGGAAACGCGCGCTTCTTTCCTTTTCTAGGAAATTCGCGATACTGAGCGAAAGGGGGGGGGGGTGTCTAAATGTAAGTGTATAAATATAAATCTAAATCTATATGGTAGTTGTTTGTATGATTGTAGGGTGAGCCAATTTCAATGCCTGCAAAGATTCTTGGTTGAGGTGTGATAAGTAAGCATTCCAGATGATACCAAATCCACTATTGACGATTGGACGATAATGTAGCGGAATCAAGGCAAAAGTAAATAAACTGACAAAGGGCCAATAACGATATGAATTCATCAAACCATTATAATAACTCTCATGAAACTTCTCTTGGATTTCCGGAATAGTTCTACCTTCTAATAAGGAAATGCCACCCATAAAGACTGCCAAAATAGCGGGTGAAAACAATGTTTGGTCCACAATGACACGGGTACCGGTAGCTGCCCATCATTGGTTAGTGTGACTGAACCCTTTCTTAATTCATTTATTTATTTTTACCTGCCCAGCGGTTCTTAATTGTGATAGTTCTGTTGATAAAACCAAACCAGCTTCCCATGACAGGTCCGCCGATACAAACACCGTACACAGTCGTTCGAAGTGACCGGGCAATGTCATGGTTTTCCCAACCTTTTCTTTCAATTGCTTGCTGAGAGATTATGTCACCCAAAGTCATCATGAAGGCTACATGGCAATAAATATATGAGTACACCTTTAAAAAAGAAAAAGGAAGAATCATTTACATGACTGCATGGCAAATGTGCGAATGGGTCTTTCTAATATATTGTATTGATACTTTTGCAGCAATGTACTCATGTTAAAAAAAGATAACAAAAAAGGGGTAAAAGTTAAAAAGCGAGGATAAAAGTTTTTACAGGTGTTGTATCGCAGATGTATTGAATCATAGAAACAATAGAAATCCAATATTAGATCTCAGTAGACAGACTGGAGATCGTAATCATGGAAAGATTGTTATGAACGAATAAGAATACATGGATAAACATTTATTCAATTCAAATGGATAAACGATTGAATAGTAAATCCCGATTGGATCTACTATTAGTTTAGACACAGCTTCGTAAAAGTATAAATACAAGCTCATTCAACTCTTAATAAAAGGTTATCTTTACTTTGATTATTTTAAAGACCCATTTTGATATCTACGATATTTCATTTTTTTTAATCTACATACAAATTTATCCTTTATTTTTTTTATAAAAATTTTTTCATTCGCTATGTCTTCCAACAACAACACTGGTTCTCCCAACTCTGGTTCTTCCAACGCTAAGATTAACTCCAACTTGGGTACTGCTGCTAGCCGCTACGCTACTCCTGAGGTTAATCATTCCAATGGTGAATCCCCCAAGGCCAAGTCCACTACTTCTGATGAAGTAACTAAGGTCCAGGTATCTCGTAAGGGCAAGGAGAAGGCCAGGGACAGTGTAAGTCACAGGGGAGATGAGGGAAAAGCCACTGCTAGTGGTAGAGTTTCAAACTCTTTTTTGGAATCGGTAGATTCAAGTGGCGATTCCAGCTGCGAACCACTCGATGATATTAGTGATATCGAGGGGGATAACATGGATATTGATCCATTGGATATGTCTGATTTAGAGGAATCCACGTTTATTAAGACTTCATTAGTATCTTACCGAATTGAAGTAGGTAAGTTGACTAAGGAGTTGACTTTGGCAATTGGCAGGAACGAGAACCCTGCTAAGATTGGGACCTTGCAGAAGGAATTAGACCGTGCGTCTAAGGCCTTAGAGATCCTAATTCGATCGGAGAAGTTGATGGACTCTGCGGAGCCATCTACCCCTAAGGTTACCCATGCCTTCGTACCTCCGCAATTACCAATTACCTTCCAATGGCGCGGTATGATTGTTAATCGCCGTGAGTATAAGTATCGTGAGCAACATCCTAGTGACTGCTTCAAACGTTTTGAAGGCATTTTGAAGTCGCATGGCATGAGCTTGGACCTTAATTGGAAACGTCTTTTACCTGAGTGTTTAGTGAACAAGGAGATGTTCCAGTTGTTGACTACCTTTTTGAAGGATCAGTATGCTGACCATACATACGATCGCTTCAAGCGTGTGTTCATTGGCCATTTCGGTCGCAACGAACAGGACGAGAAGGTAGCAGCTGCGAACAAGTTGCTTTCCATGGACATGAGTCGTTATGGATCCTTGGAACTTTATACTGAGAAGTTCAATAAGTATCGTGCTTTATCAGGATTGACGGATGAAACCATGTTGGTAGCCAGATACCTGAATGGCCTTATGAGTGCTCTCCGTAAGGATATCAATAAGTGTCTTATTGCTTCGGGTGATGCAGCTCGTTCTTTGGAACAAATTATCACGATTGCTCGTCGTTTAGTGTTATCAGAACACTACGAGAATATTACCATGAAGCGTAATAAGCGTGATGAGAGTAGGGATGAGGACTCGAAGAGCAAGAAGGCTCGTAACGTTCGTAAATGCAAGAACCATCCAAATGCTACGGATCACTTTACCCGTGATTGCCGTATTCCTAAGAAAGGCAAGAAGGGTGATGCTAAGCCACCTGGTGTATGCTGGAGATGCTTGAAGGCTCCTTTCCCTGGTGATCACAAGTGTGTACCTGCCAGCAAGAAGAATGACAAGACTCATCGTAAGCAGTCGAAGAAGCACGATGAGGAGTCCGATAGTGAATCGGGGGAATCGAACAACAGCGATTCCATGGATACAGATGAAGAAGACGAAGCTGATAAGAAGTTTGCCAGCATGTCGATGGCTTCCATCAATAAAGGTAAGAAACCTATAGTTGAAAGTGACTTTGCAATTGCACCATCAGATTTACTAACCAACAAATTTATTTATGTTCCTATTAGAGTAAATGATGTGAAGTGCTGGGCGTTCGTTGATTCTGGCAGTAATTTTTCTATTATGTCAACACGATTAAATAAATTTTTAAATTTACCCATAAAGTCATGTTTCAAAAATAAGAGTACTATTAAGTTAGGGGAGAGTAAATCCGAAGTGAATCGTATAGGAATTACTAAAGATCCTGTAAAGCTTTTTTATAATAATATTACTCTTTATTCGAAAATGGAAATTTTAGATGTGAGAGAAGATGTGGATATAGTAATCGGTACAGATACCATGTATCAGTTAAAGATCAACATCACAGGCATTGTTTTAGACTGGGATTCGAATGATAATCATTGTTTACCACCACTAATTGATCCCAATGCTAATGCTCCTAATGATTCTCCATTTGGTACTGAACAAGAAAGGGAATTAGTGAAAGCGCAATTAAAGCCGATCATTGAAGCAAATATCGCTATTGATCCTGCGTCACATTGTACACTACCTAATTCACATATCAGTATTCCTACACGTCCAGATTATAAGTATGGTTATAGACGTCAGTTCCCTATTGATGAGGCTTATAAGAGTGTGGTAGATGAACAAATTAAAACTTGGTTGGCTAATAGAGTCATAGAACCTAGTCCTCCCAATACGGCATATAATTCACCGATCTTCATTATTAAGCGTAAGAATCCCATTACAGGGGAGTACGATGGTAAAAAGACTCGTGCTATCTTAGATATTCGTATGACTAATGCTGCGTTAATAAAATCTAAGTTGGATCGATTTCAATTACCTCGTATAAGTGATATGCATTTAGAGATGGGAAACTCACAAATATTTACAATTATTGATCTATCAAATTGCTTCCACAGTTTTAAGATCAAGAAAGGTATTCATAGGCAAGTAACTAGTTTCACATACAATGGTCAGCAGTATATGTTCCGAAAAGCTCCATTTGGCCTTACTCATGTATCATCATTTGTAAGTAGATGTTTAACTACTTTATTTGCGGATTTAAAATACGTTTGCACATTCGTGGATGATATAACAATTCATACCAAGGCAGATATCCATTATCATGCAGAATGTGTCAGTGAGGTGTTACAAAGACTCACTAAGGCAAACTTAAAAATCAACCCTGATAAACTCCAATTATGTCAAACGAAGATCTATATTCTGGGATTTGTATTATCTGCTAATTATGGTTTAGTTGTGGATCACAGGAAAGTGAGTAATGTCTTGGATTGGCCACCAATTACTTCCGGTAAACAGCTGGCATCATTCCTCGGATTGACAAACTACTTTCGATCGCATATTCCTAATTACAGTTTCCTATCCGCATGTCTTGATAAGTTGAAGAATAAACCTAATCTGAAAGAACTTTGGTCTAAAGAGCATGATGATGCTGTGAAAAAGTTAAAATTAGCGTTAGTATCTTCGGCAGTGTTAAGTGTTCCAGATCCTGATTACCCTTTCTGTGTTGTAACTGATAGTTCAGCATATGGTTACGGTGCGGCACTTTACCAAGTCATTAATAAAGAGGTCAAGTACATCGGGTTCATTGCTAGAACCATTAGCGATGTAGAAAGACGTTGGGGAAGTTTTCGCAGAGAATTAGCTGCAGTCGTATTCGCCTTTACCAAATTCAAACAATGGTTGAGAGGTAGAAAGTTCCACTTATTTGTTGATAATAAGAGTATTCTATATATTCATTCGAAAGAGAAGGTTAATTTAGCAGTTGAGAACTGGTATGAGTCAATTTATGAAATGGACTTTGATATTACCTTTTGTGCTGGTATCAAAAATATTTTAGCAGATAAGCTTTCAAGATTATTTATTCCTCATGATGATGAGAAAAATAATAGTAAAGTAATCTTTAAAAAATTTAAACATGCCAAAACAAGCGATGAGAAGAAAAAGAGTACACAGAAAGGATTAGCACCCTTGTCTGAGCTGAAACATATCACTGAGAATGAGGGAGAACCGTCACTTAATTTATCTGATATTGTACCACATATAGAACAAAACGATACAGATCTGGTTTTACAGGCTATTACTAGAAGCGCTAGTAAGAATAGAGCCGATAATGACTTGAGTAGTATTCCAGTAGTAAACCGCAAAGAGAATAAGGTTACTAAAGCGAAGCTTCAACGAGTAGTTGACACTATCCAGGAACAGAATAACGTCAATGAAGGGTTACTCAAGAAATTCACACAAAAGGAAATTTTGGCTAGTGATTTCATTATTCCAGAATCTTCTGAGGAAAGAGAAGATATTTTAATTAAGACCCACTTATTAGGGCATTATGGCGTGACAGCAATGGAAAAGTCCATTCATAATGATAACATGAATTGGCCAGGTCTAAGAAAAGATATCTTAAGAACTGTAGCATCGTGTAAAAGATGTAGGTTATTTAATAGAGGTCAAACAGTATACCACCCACCTACAAGTATCTTGCCCGATGGAGTGATGGATCATGTAGTCATGGATCTAGGAACGCTCAATATAACTTCACCTAGAGGAAATAATTTTATCCTTGTGATGGTAGATTTATTCTCTCGATTTACCATGTTAAGTGCTATACCTGATAAGCGTGCAACTACCATTGCGAAGCAACTTGTTCAGAACTTTTCTATTCTTGGATATAGTAAAATCATCAGCCATGATAGAGGCCTTGAATTTCACAATTCCTTAATTGACAGTTTAGTTAAACAATGTGGTATTGACCACAGGTTGTCTTCACCCTATAACCCATTAGGCAACGCTGCTAATGAGTCATTTGTTGGTATCACAAAACGCACACTTGTTAAAGTATTGGAAGGAAAGGAAGAAGACTGGGATCTTTTCCTACCTTCAGTGCAGTATGTCATGAATAATAAGTATTCTAGACAGCATAAGGCACGTCCTTTCGAAGTCATGTTTAATAGACAAGCTAATAAGTTTGTAGACTATCGTAATGTTACACCAGTATTGCATGATAGCGATTATATCAGTGCAGAATACATCCTCGAAAAGATGAAGGAAATCAATAGTATTGTGATTCCTGCTTTGAGGGGGGAAATGGCTGACCAACAGAAGAAGGATAATGAATATTTCATGAAGAAACATAGAATCAACCATGAATCATATCCTATTGGTACAGAAGTCATGATAAAGAATATGAATAAGAGTTCCAAGACTCAACCATATTATGAAGGGCCATTCACAGTTGCTAATATAGTCAGACCAGGACTATATGTATTAAAAGATACAACTGGTGAATTATATCCTAGAAATGTACCAACATCACATATTAAAAGAATTAATAGTGAAAAGGTATTAGGAGATGAAGAACATTTTGAAGTCTTAAGCATTATAGATCACAGAGGTGATAATGCATCCAATTATGAATATCTTGTCAGATGGAAAGATTATGGTGCGGAACACGACAGTTGGTTACCATCAGATAATCTTGATTCTAATGACGCAATTAAAACATATTGGAAAAGAAGAAATGTAGATCAAGCCCACATTGATCAGATTCAGTTAATTGGCAAAAACAAGCAAGATGTCGTTAAGCAACGTAAAACCAAGAGAAGGTCAAAGACATCCATAACTGAAAGAGATAACAAGAGATCCAAGAACTAGGTTCTGCTATCAGTGTATCTTTTCTCTTATTATGCAGTAAGAGTTTTTATTGACTCAGATAGTTAAGGTTCACAATTCATGCATTAGTATTTTTTTATTTTTCTTTTTTCTTTTTTCTTTTTTTTTTTTTCAAGTCTTATCAAGATCTCAAATCAAACCAAATCAAACTGCAAAGTGTCTACTCTAAACTCTAATGGTCTGTGCTCTATACGTATCTCTCGGAAAGTCCCTATTTACAAGATAGACAAGCCTTAACTTAATCCAATTGTTTCCATGTTTGGTCGGGGATAATGTTGTATCGCAGATGTATTGAATCATAGAAACAATAGAAATCCAATATTAGATCTCAGTAGACAGACTGGAGATCGTAATCATGGAAAGATTGTTATGAACGAATAAGAATACATGGATAAACATTTATTCAATTCAAATGGATAAACGATTGAATAGTAAATCCCGATTGGATCTACTATTAGTTTAGACACAGCTTCGTAAAAGTATAAATACAAGCTCATTCAACTCTTAATAAAAGGTTATCTTTACTTTGATTATTTTAAAGACCCATTTTGATATCTACGATATTTCAACAGGTCTTTATAAAGTGCGATCAGGGAAGTACAAGTGGCTCTATCATCTTTTTGTGTGGGGTAGTCAGCGGATGTGAACCCTTTCTTATCACACTGCAATTACAGCAACATGTACTTGGGCATATTACTGCTTTCCTTATCTCTTTTCATGCATTTGATTCCAAGCTGCCAAGATTTTTTTTTTCTGGATACTAAACTACATGTATATTTCATTTTTTATCCCTATAGTAGAAAGGAGGTGGAAAGATCTCCATAAAAGAAATAGCCTACAGAAAACTGCTTTTTGTCTAAACAGATGAAAAAGATGATCTTGAAATGTGAGACATCCTTTGTCCTTTTATGGGAAATACACCTGATTTTCAATCAATTGCGAAATTAGTCTGTAAAACTTCGCCACGACTGGTGTTCTACCATTCCAATTGTCCTAAATTCTTTATTAATCAGTCTATCGAATACCGCTATTATCCCTGTCTAACTCTCTATACAAGCAAGAAAGCCTATGTGCTTGTACGTCCAATAAAACGGAAGCATTTTTAATGGAAAGGGGTGGAGAGGGCTTTCAAAAAAAATATAAGCGGAGCATGGCAAAGGGGAGGAGTAACAATCATGCACCTGAAACAAATGGAGCAAATCGCTTTCTTTACCTCGTTTACCAATGGTCAATAAATCCAATGCATGGGTATCATTCGAAAATCGGGTATTGCATATATATGCGTGTGCATGTTTTGCCAAGGCATTTGTAGACAGCATATTTGGAAACGCAAGAATAATATTAAAGTCAAATTTTTAAAAAAAAAAAAAACTATTTGCTAACACCATTTACTTATGTAGTCGTTCATTCTGGCATAAGCTCTTATTTCAGCCTACAAATAAGGCTCGAACACTTTTTTGATTAAATCATCCTGACATAAACCAGTTCTTGTTTATCAGTCTATAAATAAGACTCATTCACACACTTTTTGTACTCTTATTTTCCTTAACATACTACTATTTTTTTTTTTTTTTTTTTTGATTGAAAGTAATCAATATGGTGAAAAGGTTAGTTTTTAATGACTTTTGATTTTGATTTTTCAAGAAGCACTAAATTATCAGTTCTTTTTTTTAAAAAAAAAACAGAAAAAGTCACGCTGCAATCCTTGCCATATTGCAGCTACGGCTAGTCCTTGCTATAGGATGTTGATCTCCTAGGTTCGGTTCTTGGGTTTGGAACTCACTGGACTGACGGCCGTAACCATACGAAGGTTAACTAGTTTTAAATGGATCTTTATTTTATTTGTCTAGACACTTTTTATGGTAATGATTACTGTAACAAGATGGATATGCCTGGTGCAGGAACTACTCTCGTCTGTGTCATGCACTTCGAAACGTTTTTGAAAAAGGAAGTGTCACTTACCGAGCTACCAGTACTTACTTAGAAGCCTCACTAAAGAATGGATACGAAATCATAGGATATGCTCGAAAATCATTAGCAGGTGAAATTCTATGATTTCAAATTTAAAAGAACGATCTTTTGCCACCAGAATCTTTCTTTCCTCTTGTAGCTGGGCCTCTACACCACTTCAATCGTGTGATTTACAACCTGGCTTTCGGTAAATTGAGACTGGAAGCACAGCATCTCACAATCGAACCTGTCATGGGGTTTAATTTTGTACATAGCGCGGGATTACTTGTTGTGTGACATGGTATATTATAAGCAGGCTTCAGGGGCAACCCATCCCCGACATCAACCAGCAAGTAGTTTTATAGGGAAAAAACCCTTTAACATAAGTGCTTATTATTGTGTACTTCAACGTTAGCATGCATTCCTATGGCTTTGACTAAATAAATACCATACACATGTCTTGGTGACTGAGATTTAAAACGCATTAAATCTGTTATGTACTAAAAAACCAGTTGTAAGCCAGGTATCTTTTCGATGTCGTACTGACAACATTTCGTTTCTCATAAGGGAAACTATAACAACAGCATGGTAACAACATGACAACGGTGAAGGGCTAATTACTTTTGCTTAATGCATAGAGCTGAGTGAATAAGAATCAAAGAATAAGACATTATCTTATCGGTGTCTCCTAGTGACAAAGGAAACATAAGGATGCTATGTATGAACCATAAAGTAGAGGGTAGAGAGTGACCCTTTTTTTTTTGGGCAAGTGGCGCAAACCATGTATGTGTCGATCAAAAAAGCTCAGACAATGTACAGTTGAAGTGGAGTAGTCACAAAAGTGCGATTAAAGGATCACACACCATAGTTTTATCTATTTTTTTTTCTTTCTGCAAACAATCATAATAATAAAGAAATACATACATATATAATGGAGATTTCAAGTGGACCATTTTTTACGACATCAACTGGCCTTATTGATAGTATTGATAGTAAGTACACTTATAGTTTTGGGTGTATAAGATTTTGGAGGAATTCACGCGTGTAGATTAACAGAGCTGTTGTAGAGAAACTTATGGTTGTATTGAGAGATGGACGTAAATTAATTGGAACATTGAGGTCTTTTGATCAATTCGGTAGGTTTGTTTGATAGAGTCTTTGTTCAAATGGTGTGTGTTGACAGTGTCCCGAATAGCCAATTTAGTTTTACAAGACACGATCGAAAGAATCTATGTTGGCAACTGCTATGGTGATATCAACCGAGGTATCTTTTTAATCCGGGGAGAGAATGTTGTTCTTCTTGGAGAGATTGTAAGTGATTATATTAGAAGAAAGATTTTGATGGCTAAAAACAACATATATAAGGATTTGGAAAAGGAAGAACAAATCAATTTAAGGCAGGTACCTGTTGAAGAGATTTTAGTGGCACAACGTGAAGAAATTGAGGCCAAAGAAAAGGTGGAAAAGATCAAGAGTAAAATATTACATGATCAAGGCTTCTGTGTTGATTCTGCACAAAACGATTTGTATTAATAGATTTGGTTTATCTCTCTCTCTCTCTTTTTTTTATTTTTTTTTTTTTTTTGTCGTTTCCCCCCTCTCTCTCTCTTTACATAAAAATCAGAAAAACACTATTATTTCAAAAAGAAGAAAATCGAACGTTTTTATTTATATATATTATGCTGTGTCTCCTCCTTTACCGCCAAAGAGTCTGCCTGTTTTTCGAATGATTTGGTCAACAAGGCCAGCCAGAGCAGCTAAAGGAACCAAGAAAATGCCACAGCAGTTGCCGTTATTAACGTTAGATTGCTCAGCTGGAGAAGTGAAAGGTTCTTGTGTTGGATGTTCGGGATCTGTGTACTTGGACATTGTGATGAGTGGAAAGGAAAGAGAAGAAGAAAACTTTTTTTAAAAAAGAAAGAGAAAACGAGGGGATGGTACAACCACAGCGCACGTCACTATCAGTTACAGAATTCGAGCTGCATATCCTTTTTGGCAGATGACACTTTACCTGTGAATACTTTTTAAGAAGCTCTCTATACGCGAACCATCATCCTAAATCTTTCATTGGTTACCAGTGTGCAACACCAATCATCAAAAAGAAGCATTCAAATACCGCCTTTCAAATGAAAAAGATTTTCTCTCTCTTTTTATTTTTTCTTTTTCTCTTTTATAAACAAAAAGGATGGAGGGTCTGTTAGAAAGAATTGAGGAATTGTCCAGCATGGCTAAATCCAGCGGCAAAAAGGGAGGCGAAAAGACTCGAGATTACATTGATTCATTGTTGGATGTTTTAGACTCTTTAATTCTATTATCAGCCGATAGATTTATGACATTGGGGGATAGTAATGCCAATGATATCGACGACGAGACCTATGCACAATATATTGTCCATCCACAAGACATTATTCAGGCCAAAAGCTACAGTGGTTCTTTACTATTAAAGATTATTTCGACCGAAATGATGTTTAATGACGATCACGATGATGAACGCATGGAAAGAGCCTCCAGGCTCTTGGCCCATATGTCTGGTAGAGGAGGTAAAGTAATTAAACTGGCAAGGAGGATTTTTTTATATTTATTTATTTTAAAATTAAGCTGCGGGATCTATTACACGCACGTGGCATATTCCGTACCTGAATCAAGATGGTGTACGTAACGAATTACGAGTGCCTCTTCATGAGCCATGTTACGTTGGCAACGATCTCGGTTTCAAAACTTGGGGTGCGGCTCCCATGATGGCCAAGTAAGAGATGTGGTTTTATTTATTAAGTAATACTCATATATTTATTCCCTCGCAGAAAACTGCTGCAGCAGAATCTGATACCTAATCTCTCGCAAAGTGTCGTTTTGGAGCTTGGTACAGGCACTGGCATGGTGGGTTTAATATGTGACCATTTGGGCGCGGCCGAAATTCACGTTACAGATTATCACCCGCGTGTCCTTGAAAATGTAGCACACAATGTCAAACTGAATGGTTCCAAGGCAAAAGTCTCCATGTTGGATTTTATCAAGGTCTCCAAAGACGAAGCACCTGAATGGAAAGACCAAAAGTTTGACATTGTGATTGCTAGTGATTTGTTGTACGAAATGGAACATGCCGATCATTTGCCGGTGGCTATTGAAAAGCTAATGAAGAATGACTTTTACTTCATGATTCCACTGCGTTCAACGCATTGGGAAGAAGTGCATCACTTTGAAGAAAAAATGAAGTCGCTGGGTTTGATATGTCGAAAGACAGAAGACAGTGAAAGAGAGGAAGAAGAAGGCCTGGTGCAATTTAGATACTATGAATATACCAGATTATTAAACCCGTGATTTTCTTATGTGTATCACATTACAACGTCATAGTGTATATAATATATATTTTCTTTTTCTATTTACTCATCTCTTTTTTCTTCATTACAAAAATAAAATAAATGTATACTTCCATTCCAAAAGGTGTTACTCCTATTATCACAAGTTCAGCCGCATCTGATAGGCTCGCACAGACAGACGCAGGTGAATTTAAATAGTCTTTTTCTTCATTTTATTTCATTGTTTTTCTTTTTTATCTTTTATTAAAATTTACAACAGATAATAATATGAATTATGAGACAACCCCCACACCCTACAAACCCAGCACCAGTCGGAAAGACAATACGATATATTATGGTGGGCAACAGGACGAATCCTGGGTGACGAACGCATCAACACCATCCACCGTCGAGTCAACTTCATTTGTTAATAATAACAGGCCATCTGATTCAAATAATCTGTCTCCCATAGATGATGAGATGCAGCAAAGACAGTAAGTCCATAAAAATATTTATGCATTGTAATCAGGACGAGGGGAACACGTGAAAATAAAAGCTCATCTCCTTTTTAGTATGCAACAGTTGTTTGATAAAAAACGAAGAAGAAGAGAGTCACATAATGCAGTTGAACGTAGAAGAAGAGACAATATCAATGATCGTATATTCGAACTATCCACACTTTTACCCGAAAGGGATGCCAGTAAAAACAACAAAGGTACAATTCTAAGGAAATCAGTAGATCATATTCGATTATTACATGAAAAGGTCAATCAATATCAACAAAGGGTGCAAGAGCTTGAAAATATGTTGGACATGTACCGAATAAGATGGGGTGATCAAAATAACACAAGTACCGCTGTTACTGCGAATAATACCACTACAACTCCAACTAATAACAATCAATCTTTGGATTTATCTGCAATACAGCCACATTTACATCAACACCATCCACCACCACATCATCATCCTCATCATCACCATCATCCACAACATTTCACTCGAGATAATTAATCCCCTTTATATATTTCTCCCCCCACTCCTTTCTCCCATAGTGTATTAAACTTTTTTTTTTCTATTTTTTTTCTATTATTTTTCTATTATTTTTCTTTAATATTGTTGTGTTGGATAGTTTTTATAACACCAAAAACATTGTGATGCAAATCTCTTCCTACAATGTAATCTGCAATAAATCCAGGCACATATCCTCCGCCCGAACCTTGCGAAATACAGATCCATTCCACCGTGCCATCCTCTAATTCTTCCACGGCTTCCCATGACTGGTATTTGCCACGCACGTATCCTTTTCGGGGTTTCATATTAGGGTAATCTACCGGTTGACTCACCACCATAAATCGACGACCTGTCTCGCGTGTGGCTATTAATTGGATGAATTCACGGCTATACGAGAGCATAGGGGTCTGAAAGCCGAGCCAATAAATTTCTGATTCTGCTGTCGATTTGCCTAGGAAGACGGCCTCTTCCAATGAATTGGTATATTTGGGTTGATTCATTGCATGGTTGACAAAGAGGAGTTCCCGTAGTTGATCGTAGGTTATATCTTTGTGAAGACTACATCGTTGATAATATTTGTGGGAATCTTTGGGTAATTTGATACAGCGTGTTAGTACGATGTCGTTGGTATATTTCAGGGGCCAATTTCGAGATTCTTTTACTAATTGGTGGCCTTTTTCAAACAGGGATTCAACAATGCTGCTTGCCTTGCTAGGATCCTGTAATTGTGCCTGTGATATAGGTGTCATTGACTGTCGAAAAAAAAAAGAAATGAAGAAAAAAAAAGCACAGAAATTAAAAAATCATCTAGTTTAAACTGTTACATTCACACGTGTTCTAAAATGGCATTGTGCTAATTTTTGGGAATTTTTTAATTTTCTTCGGGATGGTTACACCCCCCCCCCAATGTTTTTAATTACTGCTTTTTCATTTGTTTTATATATGTGCATCTTATGTAAAATCCAAGTTACAATGACATTTAATGATGTTTTTTGAATATATGCACCGTATGTCATTTAAATATATGCACCGTATGTCATGATCTATCAAAAAATAATCATATTTCGTTTAATCTGATTTAAAACACTTTCTGGGGCTGGTGGACATCAGTTGACTATTGGTCAAGGTATACAATTATTTTTAACTCCTCTGAGAATTAATAAAGATGTGTGATACGGCCCTTCTGTAGGGAGAGTAGCACAGCCTAAATATCATGCAGCAGTTTTTATATTATAACTTTGTGTGCGTCTGCATGTTTGTAAAAAGCAAAAGAAAAAATTAAATACATAAAATAGATCGTCATTCGAATGTTTTTTTTAAAAAAAAAAACGAGGCTAATTTAAAGATCGTGCTATTTTAAAAAACAGAGCAACCCGAATTGATGGTAGTACGAGGTACCATAGTAATCGGCGGCTTCATATTTAGTCGACATGCATGTCTTAGTTTCTAGAATTAGGCGGGGAAATAAATCACACACAGAAAAAAGCACATCATTGACTTCAACTCTGCTAGTTAATTGGTCTCACGGACCTTTTGATAGAATTGCACATGACCGCTTGTCATTTCCATAAGTATACTGTTCGCCTAATAAAGTCCGGATTTTCCCTTTTGTAGATGCCGAGAATTACAGGTTGATCAATAGAGACTTTAGGGGATTAAGGCTGTTCTCAAGCAAAAAAATTTGACACCCCCCTCCATAAGGAAATTATAACCTTAAAATTTCATATTCCTCAGCCAAAAAACGTTGAAAATTTCTACTAACCATTTAAAAAGTTAATCCACCCTCAGAGGGTGGATTAATTCTCAAAATAGTATAGCGTACTATCTTACTTTTTGGCAGAGAATTATAAAAATGTAAGGTTATAATTGCCTTATGGAGGGGGTATCAAATTTTTCCAAAAAGAGGGGTTTACAATTTTTTTGCTTGAGAACAGCCTAATTTACACTGGACTAAAAAGTAAATTATACTGTTTGGAAATCAGATTAGTGTTTTTTTCCACCATTTTTTACACTATTAGTGTAAACGCTTTCACTAATCTGTCCTTAAAATAAGCCAATCGCTTCTGTCAATATCCCATATTTTAAAGACCAACTTTTTAAAATTCATGTTATTGGCCTTCTACTAGTCTGTATTAGGACAGTGATAAAAGTCACTGTGAATGTTGTAGTGTAACGCTTAGTGAAAATCTGAGTCCCCTAAACTCTCTAATAGTAGGTTTAATATATTTAGTGGTCTTGATAGTAAAAAGAGTCTCACATTGGATTGCCGTTATCACTAAGAATATGAATATTCCCTTATCCATGTAATTATTCCTGTTGCGTATGTTTCCCATTGATGAAGGGATCTGTAATAAGGTCCAAGATACCGATCTGCTGGTATTTTTTTCTTCCTGGCACGTGTGCATTTCTCCCCAACTTCTTGCCAAAAACCCGAATTTCACAAGTTAGTGTTACTGCTGTTTGTACCAGGTAACACACCCTACATACCGCGCTGAGATTCGTACTACGTATCAATCACAAGAGCTTAGTCTTAATTAGTACGATTAAACTGCTTTATTTGGGTATAAACTTCAGTTTATTATTATTATCATCATCAGGGTATCCATGCACAAAGAACGATCCAAGTCTTTATGACTAAACGAAATCTATCTTCAAGCGCATTAAGGCATTGTGAATAGTGGTTACGGCAATGAATAAGCGATAGCATTCCTCACAAGGTCGCCGTTCGGCTCCTCGATTTGTGGTCCGCGTGATATTTTTGGAGTTGCCTAACAATTTAATCTTGTTATTGACATGTATCCTGCTACATATATAACTAATTGTATTCTGGTACATCAGCATGCTACTTTAATGTCTACAATCCAATAATTCGAATCAGAAAGAGAATGTCCCCCGACCGAACAAACTGTCATCCAATCAAAAATAGAATTTTATCTTTTGAAATAAGTTGTCGTCAAATGCAGCATGGCATTCACTTGGGTCAAAAATGGTGGAACTCGATTCGACTTGGACTGTTGGTCATTAGTACAAAGTAGTCATCGTTCGATCTAGACTGTCAATATTTTCCGGGTATACATGTATTCAACACTCTGTGCATTGTATCATTCTGAAAGTACTGCTCAGTGTCAGTAGTGCATACGTTAATAATGATCGTGAGCGAAATACTGCTAGATTGGGCTTTATTATGTTGTCCGTTTTGTCTTCGTTCATTAGAAAGATATACTCCATTTGGTGTATGATCACTCCGTTCGTCTTTCCCCAATTAGTTTTTATTTGAGATGATCTTCTTGTTTAATTGTAAACTACTAATCTTTGCTTCAGTTTTTATCTCCTCCTCTTCCTCTTCCTGTAAGTCTTCTCTCTCATAGATGTCTTTTTTGGCATCTTCCCAATTGCATTTATCCTCCAAATTTGGCATGTCTGTTCAGATAAGTTATGTTTTGGGACTTGCATCTACGAGATTATCTATTTGATTAATATGTTTTTTTGTTTAGCATCACCCAATTTTTAATGGGGTACAAGACCGTAAAAGCTTCTCTAAATTTTTAGCATGTTTTAGTATCTGCTCAAAAAAAAAGGAATCCATTATAATCAATCCTTTTATGAGAGAGAGAAAAATGGGTGGGCAGGTTTCATTTATGATGAGAAACAAGAACTGGATTATGTCAAAATTAGATAATTGTTTATTTATGATTGTTTGTTTTTTTGTTGTTTGTTTCAGAATATATCAAGGGAAATTGCTTATGTAATCTCAGTCTCTGGAATCTGGTGGGAGGTACATCACACGGTTAAGTTTCTCCACTACAATATCTTCGTCAAAAGTAGAGCTTTGATCTGCAAACTTCTGCTGGTGCATATGACGTGGGTGGTTTGACTCAAAAAATTCTTGCTCGTAATCATCTGCATACCCAAAATCACTAATGAATCCTGGATCATCCATGCTGTAGACATCGGGGGATGAAGGCCCGTCAGCGTAAGCCTGATCGGCTTGCGGGTATTGATAGTATGAACCTGGATACTCCATACTTGGTGTGATAGGAGACTGTAGCATTTGATTGCTATCATATGAATGAGGCTTACCTAATATCCCTTCATCCATATGACTGTTGATATTTCGCGATAAGTACATCCGAGAATCACCATTCTGGTAATAACTGCTGTGATTATTAAAAGGGTTTGAAGCTAGCACCGATCTTCTAATGTTCTGCTGATAGTGGGCATCACTCCCCCTTCTTGACGAAACTGAATTACAAATACTGCTATTAGTACTACTAGTGGTACTGGCGTTACTGCTACTCAAATTTCTTCTTGGGCGGGGTAGTACACCTACAGCACTAAGATTTGTACCACTAAATGATCTCCCAGTCTGTTGCAGACGCACCTGTGCCATTGATAGTTCATCTGTCGCATTTTGAGACTGTAACTGAAATTCTCTATTACGGTAATTTTGTTCCTCATATTCCTTGACGTTTTTTCTGACAACAACGGCGATAGCATGCATGACGCCTTCCAAGTTTTTGAGGGAGGCTTCACAGATACGACGTTCTTGAATGATCATTTCGAGCTCATGTCTTTTCATTTTCTTGCTATCACTGGCGGTTGTATGAATAAGAAAAAATTGAGACTCGTTCTCGGAAATAATCAAATCTTCAATTCGGAATGTTAAGTGTTGAAGTTGGAAACGTATGTCCTTCCGTGGAATAGGCAGGTAAATGATTTGTGTAGCATTCTCTTCAATGGCTGTTTTGAGTTTACGATATCCTTCAATGGAAATCTAAATAATATTAAAGATTAACACATTTTTTCTTATATCTTCTAGGAACACTCTTATTACATGATTCTCATCAAGACAAATGGATTGCAATGTACGGTTGGTGTTTAACACACGAGCCAAAGCTAATGCTCCTTCGTCTCCAAATCTTAGACCGGATAAATCAATGTGGCGGAGACAGCTGTTGTGGCGAAGACCGTGAAGCGCTTGAATAATGGCTTTACAAATAACTGATTTGAATTGACTTTTCTTGAAAAATGGAGAAAGGGGCTCTATGGTATGTTGGAGATTAAGTTTAAGCTCTGTCATTACCCGGTTTCTTTCAAAGAAAGACGTCAAAATACGCACCGTGTCTTCTGAAATTTCATCCGTATCTCTCATGCTGATATCTGATAAATCTAAATGAGAAATTGTCTGGTTGTCTCTTAAACAGTCGATCCACTCCCGTAATGTAGAGTCATCCCATTCAATACGCGCAAGTGAGAGAGACTTCGGGCCTTCGCCCTGTAAAATGGATGAATAGAGAGTCGGCAAGTGCATTACCTCCTTCATAATTGGATTACGCTCTAGATTAAGATGCATGTCACGGTTGCGAGATAAGCTTATACTTTGTAAGATATGATGAACATTTTTGCCGTTCAGGTTACAATCACCCAGATGAAGTGCTTCAATGCTTTGAAAAGACGGTGATTGAATCCATTGGCATAGTCGATTTACAATATCACCATTCATTCTGGATCCACCCAAATCTAGTTCTTGAAGATGACTGCTTTCTAACTGAAAATTATAATCCATTCCCAATAAATTATATCCTCGCATACGTAGTACGCGTAACCTCCTAAATGAGTGTATCATCTTTTGTACCAAATCGGGGTGAATAGCAATTCCATTACTGCTTGACAAATCCAAACAAATTATCTGATCCGGATTCTTCTCGTATAATGTCTTTAATACCAATTCGATTAGATCTTTTTCAAGACCACAGTCATTCAGATCAAGCTCCTTGATAGATTTTTTGTGCTCTTTAATACCCTTGGTCAATTTTCTGAGATCGGTTTCTGCCATTTTGTTCTCTCCAAGACGAATGCGACTAATATTTGTCTTCCCAGAAGACATGACAGTACCGATAATAGAAAGAGCAGTATGTCGACGTATTGGTTGCTGGGTATCAGCTATAGGATTTCCAATGGAGCAATTAGAAAGATCCAGCTTTCGTAATAAGCTCAGGTTGGTCAAGAGGTCGTAGATTTCATTGGAAAGGATATTATCGCCTCTTAAAGTTGTATTTTCGGTCCAGCCTTGGTTTGTTTGGATCCGCCAAGATTCTAAACAATGAAGTGTATGATTTGCAAAGCATACCTCAACAAAAATATTCTAACATACAAATCAATTAGAAGCTGTATAATCAGGTTAATGATAGGACTTACGTTGACTTGCAGCGTCCTAAAAATACACAATAGCTCGTATTTTTGATAAGGAGAAGAAAAAGAACTGATTTCGCTGGGTGGCAACAGTGTAAAGACTTTTAATTTTGAGGCACCATCTAAGGAATAATTCAAACGGGATTTGTTGAGATTCATGGCAGCTGTAAACGCTCTGAGTGTGGTACTAAATCGATGCATTTCTTCATCATCATGTCCTGTAACTTCATCCTCAGGATCCACAGGTATTTGAAAGGGAATTATTTTTGTATTCTTAATTCGGGGTGGAACATGCGATGTAAATAAACTAGAATGGGGAAAAATTGAATCCACGGCACGCTGAAGATTTTGTATGATTTCTTCACAGAATGATGAAGCAAACACTAACTGGCGATTGTTTTTGTCTACTTGTTTAACCTCGAGAACAATTGTGTCATCTTTATCTTCGTATTTTATGGATGTGATTGATAACAAACCAAATCGATCGCGTTCTACCATCTTAAGATATTCATCATCGATGATACTCACGGGTAAGAAGTAAAAACTGAATTTACCAATAGCAAAGATCATGGGTAAAAACACCTCCTTAGCCGTATCGCTACCTGCTTTATATCGTTTCTCTTTAAACACCACCTTGTAAGTCTTGATTTGTTCAGATTTTGGAAAATGGTCGCTTTGTTTTGTTAAGCGATCGATGACATTGTTTCTCTCCAGAGGCGAAAGACTTGTAATACGAGGGTGATGGATTTTCACCGATTGTCGGAGCGCTTGAATCCATTGGCGACATTCTTTTTGTGTATCTACTGTCAGTATATGGTGAAGCGCCTGATTTGACTGCGGGTGAAAGTATTCGATTCGAAACGCGGTTTGTATCGTTGCTACTATAGCATGCACAGCATAGATGTGACTCAGTTTTAGGAAAATACGGTCTTTATCCAATGTCTTGTTATCTAAGCTTTGGTCAGCCAAATCAAAAAAATTAATCTCGGATCTCGCTTTTTGAGAGTTTTTATACAAGAGAATGAAGTTATCAGTCAAAACAAAATGGCACTTCTTGGTCTTGTTTAAAATCCCCTTGTCAGGTTTGTAAATAGCGTCACCAGCATAAATAACCGTGAAGGATTCCTCGGTTTCCAATAGCAACATTTTGGTTTTTTGTATCATATCTGGCGTAGGTGGAAAAACTAAGTCGTTGGTACTAGTGGATAAGTATGGGTCGATTTTTCCGCCAGGGATGGTTTCATCAACATAAGAATTTTTTGTATCCACTTGGTCATCCCTATAAGATGAAGCTACTCTGTAAGCACTCGATGGATAAAGACGAGGTGAAGTTGCATTATTGTATTTATAATACTCGGCAGATGAGAAAGAAGGAATGTCGGGTAAAGTTTGCTGATATCGACGGTCGTTATCGCTTGTTGACGAAGAATAATATGATGGGGGCCGACTGTATTCACTATAGGAAGACATCGTATTATTGGGTTGTTGACTCGCTGGAACTATTGATAATCCTCTTACAAAAGATGAGGAGGAGGAAGAGGATACTGTCAGACTACTTTTATTAGATCTTGAAGAGTATGAAGATGAACGAGGTAGATAGGTTGTATTTCGCGACATATATTAGATGAGAAAGACGGAAATGAGTTTTATAAACAAAACTTTATTGATATACAAAAAAAGAAAAGAAAGGACTGTGTCATGATGTATATCAGCACAGACGAAAAACTTTAATCCAATGAAATAATTAATAAAGTTGCATTTGCTGTTTTCATGTCTTTCGTATTGCTCAGCCTGGATTTTAGACGATTGATTCTAACCAATAATATTCGTCATCCGACGCATGTTTTTGTCAGTTTATGTGCTTTGATTACACGTGGGGAAATCTTAAAAATCAGTAAGTTCTTTCTGTTGCATCCATGCTTTTTATTTTTATTAAAGCAAGTTAAGAAGCTTAACAGCATGAGGTGGTATAATTGGTTGATTAAATTCTAAATACAATTTTATTTTAAATGAAAAGGCGATAAAGTGTACAACACTTAAAGGCTATTGAAGTCAGGCATATTATCAACGGCACCGATACCAACAACAGCAGCATCACCACTCAGGTACTCTCTAGCAACGCGTCTCACGTCATCGACAGTGACCTTAGCGACCAACTGTTCGACCTCCTTTGGTGACATACGATCACCTGAAGTCAGCAATTGTCTACCAATATCTTCAGCGATAGGAGTACTACCGTCTAAACTTAATAATAAACCAGCTTTTAATTGTTGTTTAGCACGTTGAACTTCCTCGTCGGTGACAGATGTAGATAAACGACTCCATTCTTTCTTTGTTGAAGCCAATAAATCGCCAATACGTTCCTTATTCTCGGTGATCAAATAAATACCCCAGAGTCCAGTGTCCTTGTATGAAGTGTTGAATGACATGAACGAGTTGGCAAGTTGATTGTTGTGTAAAACAGAAGATAATCTTGAATCCAAATGTCCTGTAGCACCTAAAGAACGGTCCCAAGAACCAATGATGGATTGCATGACTAAAAGAGGGAAGTAATCAGGAGATGTCCAACTAGCACCCTCCACAGCCACAGCGATATGAGCTTGGTGGGCATTAGAATCTCTCACTCTGAAATCAGCTCCAGTAAAAACAGCCTTCTTCATGGCAAATTTACTGGTAGAAGCATCTAATTTGTTGGGCAAACGACCAAAATGATTCTCGGCAAGATGAACAAGAG